CAATATCCGGGCCAATGCTCCCAAGGCCATGTGGATCAAGGTAAGGGAACAGAGAGATGGGTGGGCTTTGGCTGGGCTGTCCAGTTTTGGGGGGTTACCTGCTTGGCTCAGGGTCACAGATGAGGTTCTGGAAGGCCTATCTCAGAACCTCTGCCCAAATTTCTCTGGCTTAATGCCCTTAACAGTAATAGCCTGCGGCTGCCTTCTCTCCAGGCAGCGAGGAATGGAAATTGCTCATTCATGCTACTGCCTCCTGTCCAACTCACAGTATTGTATTGCCATACTTTAAAATATCCAATGACTTCCCTTCTTCTCTTCCCATGGTTCGTTTTGTGTATCTTACATCCCTGCATATTCTACAATAACTATCCTGATCGGTTTTCCACTATCACATCCATCAAAATTATTTACTCTTTTGAATTTTTCTTAGTGCTGCCAGCATTTTCAGCTGTACACAGTTATTTTCCATATACTCAATAAATGTTTTCCAATCTTCTCTAAACCTATGTTCTTCTTGCTCTCTTATTCTATATGTTAAATCTTCAAGTTGTGCAAATTCTGTCAACTAAAGTTGTGAATCTTCTTTGGTTGGGACCTCACTCACTTTCCATTTTGGGGCTAACAAAACACGGGCTGCAGTTGTTGCACACATTAATAACCTTTTCTGATACCTGGGAATTTCAGTCTGAGTTTTCCCCAGCAGAAAGAACTCTGTGTTTTTGAGGAAAATATTTTTCCCCCAGTTCATTATAAATCATTTCCCAAAGCTCCTTAACCTTTTTACATGTCCACCACATGTGAAAGAATGTTCCCTCCACCTCTTTACACTTATCTGATTCTGTCTTGTAGATCTTAGCAAACCTATTCGGAGTTAAACACCATCTATGAATCATTTTCAAAGAGTTCTCTTTCAAAGAACATGCTGTCAATTTCAAGTCGCTTTTCCAAAGTTACTCCCAAAGGTTGAAATCTATGTTGTGTCCTATATCTATTGCCCAGTGCATCATTGAGACTGTAAAACCATTGAGTTCAAACCATCCAAGGTCATTGTTGTCCCCCTATGACCAGCCTCCCCTGACTCTAGCCGGACTTCTCAGGCGTTCCCTGGGAAAGTGTAGCCCAGTTCACAGGCTTTAATGGTGTGGTGTGGATGTGATCTCTCTCTCTCTGCAGGTGCTAATCCCGCTCTTCACAGGCCAGCCGCTTCCCCCAGAGAAGCTGCAGGAGGTGATGGAGGGGCTGAGCGCCTGCTTGACTCAGCTGGAGGAGCTTTTCCTGCAGGACAAGCCCTTCCTGGTGGGCAGCGAGGTCTCGCTGGCAGACCTAGTGGCCATTGTGGAGCTCATGCAGGTGAGGATTGAACCCAGGGATCACCAGGTTCCTTTCTGAACTGGCTCCTGGCCAGTCTGGGGAGACCAGGGCAGCAGCCTGCCTTCCCTCAAAACCTGACTTAGGGCACATTGTGGGATGAGCAAATGGCCCAAGGGTGATCAGCGGCTGTTTTGAGTGGGCTAAGTGGGTGATCCAGCTGCCAAGCCAGACCACAAGGAGCCCCAACAGAGAACAGGGTGCAGGGCAATCTTCCCAACTGTCAAGGCTTCAGGGAATCCTATCCCTCTCACGGCGGGATGCAAAGAAGCATCAAAACAAGAAGAGTTCTTACCATGTAGTTTATTCAATAGTCACAGAGAGAGACGAAGGAATGCTGTCTCTCTTAGATAATGCTGTTGCTCCAAGTCAAGTCCCACCCCCTCAGTCCCTCCTATTCTACATCACCCCTGCACCAGCTGATCTGTACTTTCTGCCTCTGAGTTTTCTGTTCTATTACTCTCAATGCCCGCCGGGTTCTGGGAGAAGGGGGGGTCAGGAATGCTTTCAAGAGACACTGAGTCTGTTAGCTGTCTCTCCCCTGGTGCTTCTACTTCCTGCTGCTCTCCCAATATTTCCCAACTCCTTCCCTCTTCAGCCTCTGAACTATGTGTGACGTTAACATATGAGAGAGTGCTGGAGGTGAAATAGTTAAACAGGTTGTCCACTCAGGACCCAGGGGGGTGGAGTCAGTGGGACTATAAAACCAGCTCTGGGAGGGGCAAAGGAGAGTTTGTTGGGGAGTTTGTTGGGAGCTGGGTGGTTGGTTGGAGTGGGAGTGAATTGGGCTAGAGTTGTGGGTAGGTTGAGTTAGTGTAACGAAATAGGCTGAGTTAGGGGCTAGGCAGACAAGTAAATATCCGAGAGGTGGTTTAGTAGGTGGGGAGTCCCACTGACTCCACCCCTCTGGGTCCTGAGTGGGCAACCTGTTTAACTATTTCACCTCCAGCACTCTCTCATGTGTTAACGTCACACTATGGCCTTCTGCAATGGGGACGCGGGTGGCGCTGTGGGTTAAACCACAGAGCCTAGGACTTGCCAATCAGAAGGTCGGCGGTTCGAATCCCCGCGACGGGGTGAGCTTCCGTAGCTGGGTCCCTGCTCCTGCCAACCTAGCAGCTTGAAAGCACTTCAAAGTGCAAGTAGATCAATAGGTACCACTCCAGCAGGAAGGTAAACGGCGTTTCCGTGCGCTGCTCTAGTTCGCCAGAAGCGGCTTAGTCATGCTGTACGCCGGCTCCCTCGGCCAACAAAGCGAGATGAGCACCGCAACCCCAGACTCGGCCATGACTGGACCTAATGGTCAGGGGTCCCTTTACCCTTTACCTATGACCTTCTGCAAATCACTGTTCTAAATCTATACTGTCCTCCTGCTCTCAGGAAGGTGCAGGAAGAGAGCGGAAGTGTTTCCCACCATTCCTCTTCAGTCCAGCCCCTGACACCCACAGACCCCAATGACTTACTCCCTACCCCCACCCCGTCCACTTTCCGCAGCCGGTTGGTGTTGGGTGCGACATATTTGAGGGGAGGCCCAGGCTGGCCAAGTGGCGCGACCGAGTGGAGGAAGCTATCGGGAAGGAGCTCTTCCTGCAAGCGCACCAGCTGATCCTGAACATCAAACAGCTGAGCACCATCCAGATCGATCCCCGGCTGAAGGAGCAGCTGGGGCCGGTGCTACTGAAGATTCTCAAGTGAATAAAAGCCACCCAGCTGGCCGCCGTCTCTGCCTCTCCTTTCTAAGTTGAGGGATGCTGCCACAGGCCCTGGTGTGCCCCCTGATCTCCTGCCCGCGGGCAGCAGCTGCCCTCTCCTAAGCATTCGCTCCCGGTGTGAGTCTGCAAGACCCACAGAGCTACGGGGCAGGCCCTATGTTGACTGTTTGCTTTGCTTGGTGCCCAACACCCAGCACTGACTGAGCACGCAAACCTGCCCAAGGCGAGGCAGTCAACCGAGCTCTCTGGGTGAGCAATGACAGGTACCTCCCAAAGCACCAACTTCCGCTGCGCATCAACGCCTTTTCTCCGACGATAGAAGAGCTCTGGGGATGCTGTTGCGAGTGGAGTCAGAGCACAGGATCCCCAACCTGTGAAACGGCCTGGGCTAGCCAGCTTGGGACTGCCTGCTCTGACTGGCAGTGGCCCTCCCAGGCAGGGTGGGCTCTTCCCCAGTCCAGAGCTGGGCCCCACAGACCCATGGTCCCTCTCCATCAGCATTGGCAGCAAAAGGAAATAAATGTGCTAGGGGAGGAGAGGGGGCAAAGACAGTTCGAAAGGCCGTAGGGCAGGGTGGAAGGGCCAGGAGGGGAGGTTGGCAACTGGGGCTGAAGACCCTAGTATTAAGCGTCTGGGGCCAGATCTGTCAACACACACCTCGCCAGTCAGACTCTGCCCCCTTCCCTGAGGAAAGGGAGGCCTTCGAGGGTCCGTTTTCTAGCCTGTAGCTGAGCACCCCATATTCCCTCCAGGCTCATGACGTATGGGGTAAAGCCATCATGGCAGGGAATGTGCAGCAGGGTCCCTTTTTCAGATGGGAGGGGAGCAGACTCAGAGGGTGCTGACACTGGAGGCCCCAATTCAGGGGTCCTTGGGGACTGGGGCAGTATCCAGCACCTCTGCTGCTGGTTCAAGTGATCTTGCCAGGCCCTGGTTGGAGTTGGGTGCCCAAGCTGCTGTTCAAGGTGGAGAGGGGGTCACAGAGGGGAGGGCTATTGATGGATACTAGGCCTGATGGCTATGTTTAGCACCCATGCTTGGAGGCAGCAAGGTTGCAGGTTCGATCCCTGTATGGGTTCAAATCCTGCTTCGGGGTTTCACATTGAGGCCACATTGAGGACCGGATGCTGAACTCTGATTGGTCATGAAGGCTCTTCTTCTGGTCTTGTGACCAAGGCATGGCAGCACTTTCGCCCCCCCATTCTGGCCAGCCACCTATGACAGTCAGAGCAAATGGGCTTTGGAGGCACCAGCCCACACTGGCTCACTTTGGAGACACAGAAGTCAACCGGTCTTCTATGGCAAGTCTTCCCACATGAGAGCATCATTGGCCAGCCACACACTGCAGAGGTTGCTATCTCTTGGACATTGGTTCTGTGCCGATGGGTTCTGTGAGGGAGGCGATGCTGTGGACGTGACAAAAATAGCCGCCAACTGCTTTTCTCACCTCACGGTGTTGGCGGCGGCCATCTTGATCCCAGAGAAACAGGGAAAGAGAAGGGGTGTATTTGCAGTCGCAGAGGTCTAAAAGCCAGGCAAGCGTGTTGAGTTTTACACGGGGGAAAGATGTCACCTGCTCCTCCTGGTAAAGGTAAAGGTACCCCTGCCCGTACGGGCCAGTCTTGACAGACTCTAGGGTTGTGCGCTCATCTCACTCAAGAGGCCGGGAGCCAGCGCTGTCCGCAGACACTTCCGGGTCACGTGGCCAGCGTGACATCGCTGCTCTGGCGAGCCAGAGCCGCACACGGAAACGCCATTTACCTTCCCGCTAGTAAGCGGTCCCTATTTATCTACTTGCACCCGGAGGTGCTTTCGAACTGCTAGGTTGGCAGGCGCTGGGACCGAGCAACGGGAGCGCACCCCACCGCAGGGATTCGAACCGCCGACCATGCGATCGGCAAGTCCTAGGCGCTGAGGTTTTACCCACAGCGCCACCCGCGTCCCTCCTGGTAGATTCTGCAAATAAAACAGGTTTTTTAATCAAGAAGGAATGCAAGGCGCGGACAAGCAGAAATGGCCCCAGGGAGCTCACAGGCCACGTTTCCGAGGCTATTTCTCATTTTCTGTATAATTCTGACAGAGGAGAGTCCTGCTTTTGGAAATAATAATAATAATAATAATAATAATAATAATAATAATAATTAATATGATTTTATTGTTTATATGCTACCAATCTCTGGGCAGCTTGTAACAAATTAAACATAGTAAAACAGCAAACATGGGCTGCCCTTCTAAAATTCAGATAGTTAATTCCTTGACACCTGACGGGAGGGCGTTCCACAGGGCAGGCATGATTACCAAGAAATCTTGCCTCCCCTTTCCTGCCCAGGTGACCTTCACCGAACCTTTTCAATACCTGGGACCCACCTTTAACCTAAACATGTGTTTGGGGACCCAGTTCTTTATTTTTTACTGCAACATAAAGGCCATTACTTAACAACCCTAAGGCACTGTGGCATTTCTTCATTTTGCAACACCAGTTTGTGCCGCTGCTGTGACCCACCTTCCCTTAGGGTCCCAGTCTGCCGGCTGAAGGCCAGGCCTTTAAAAAGAGGACCAGAGTCCTGGCACCTGCCAAGTTTCCTTCACCAATGCCCCCCCCCCCAGGGCAGAAAAGAGGGACCCAGCACCTAAATACCCTTCTCTCTGCCCCCCCCCCACAAAGCAGAACCAATAGGAGGCTGGAGCCAGGCCAAAGAGTGGCCCACCTGAGCCCAGGTAGCAGAACACCTGGGCCTCTCGTGATTGGCTGGCTATACCTTCCCTAGAACAGGTTGTTTACTCTGCAGGCCAATTGGAGTCTTAGGAAGATGTTTCTGTTGGGGGTGGGGCTTGAGGGTCCCTCAGACGCAACTGGAATCTCCCATCAAGTCGCCAGGCCGGCCCACCCACCACTGACATAACCTCACCATGGTGCTAGAGCTCTACCTAGATATGCTCTCCCAGCCCTGCCGGGCGGTCTACATCTTCGCCAAGAAAAACAACATCGCTTTCATGATGAAGAACATCGAGATGCTTAAAGGTAACTGGGATTTTGAAGGAGGGGGATTCCTAGTATCCCTCCCACTTTTTCCACCCCCAATTGTGACCCAGTAACACCCTTTCCCCAAAAGGTTTTCTGGAACTTCGCCTTTCCTCTGACCTCCTTTCTAGACCCACCTTGGAATAATAATAATAATAATAATAATAATAATAATAATAATAATAATAATAATATTTATTTATTTATACATACATACATGCGTACATACCCCGCCCATCTGGCTGGGTTTCCCCAGCCACTCTGGGCGGCTTCCAACAGAACACTAAAATACAATAACCTATTAAACATTAAAAGCTTCCCTAAACAGGGCTGCCTTCAGATGTCTTCTAAAAGTCTGGTACAGTGGTACCTCGGGTTACAGCCGCTTCAGGTTACAGACTCCACTAACACAGAAATAGTACCTCGGGTTAAGAACTTTGCTTCAGGATGAGAACAGAAATTGGGCGGCGGCTGCGGCGTGGGAGGCCCCATTAGCTAAAGTGGTGCCTCAGGTTAAGAACCGTTTCAGGTTAAGAACAGACCTCCAGAACAAATTAAGTTCTTAACCCAAGGTACCACTGTAGTTGTTTTTCTGTTTGACATCTGGTGGGAGGGCATTCCACAGGGTGGGTGCCACTGCTGAGAAGGCCCTCTGCCTGGTTCCCTGCACCTTCGCTTCTCACAGCGAGGGAACCGCCAGAAGGCCCTCAGCGCTGGACCTCAGATTCCGGGCAGAATGATGGGGGTGGAGACGCTCCTTCAGGTATACTGGACCGAGGCCGTTTAGGGCTTTAAAGGTCAGCACCAACACTTTGAATTGTGCTCGGAAATGTACTGGAAGCACAGGGGTGGGGAGAGAAAGTGCCTCCCCCCCCCCAGTTTGCAGCTGCGGGGGATAGGAGGGCAGAAAGGATTCGACACACGCACTCAAAATCACAAGGGACACAATTGGTCTCTTCTATAGGCCACCCCTATGGAGGAGGCAGGGACGCGGGTGGCGCTGTGGGTAAAAGCCTCAGCGCCTAGGGCTTGCCGATCGGAAGGTCGGCGGTTCGAATCCCCGTGGCGGGGTGTGCTCCCGCTGCTCGGTCCCAGTGCCTGCCAACCTAGCAGTTCGAAAGCACTCCTGGGTGCAAGTACATAAATAGGGACCGCTTACCAGCGGGAAGGTAAACGGCGTTTCCATGTGCGGCTCTGGCTTGCCAGAGCAGCTTTGTCTCGCTGGCCACGTGACCCGGAAGTGTCTCCGGACAGCGCTGGCCCACGGCCTCTTGAGTGAGATGGGCGCACAACCCTAGAGTCTGTCAAGACTGGCCCGTACGGGCAGGGGTACCTTTACCTTTATGGAGGAGGCAAAAGCTCATGCTCTGCCACGATAAATAATGGAGCCTTCCTGTGCAGAAAAAGTCTACCTTTGAGCCATTGGTTGCTAGGAGGAAACAGCAGAGGGGGTGGGTGGGCTGTCTATATGACCTGCTTATGAGCTTCCCAAAGGGATGGAAAGGGGTGGGGTCCCATCCAGCAGGACTCTTTTTTTGGTTATTTCTTATATTTCCCCACTCAACCCTCTTGAGTGCAAAGCCTTGTCAAATTTTGTAAGGGGTTGTGATGGTCTCCGATTAAGCCCTCAGCCACGGTGGGTGTCCCCTGGCTTCAGACACCAAAGTGCTCCTTTTGAACATAACCCATCAGACCAGGCAACAGAATTAATCAGCCAAAAGATGTAAGGCTGGAGAGGAGGAGGAGGAGAAGGAAGCAAAGTGCAAAATCCTTGGCAAATTGACAGAAGCACTGCTCTTGTATAGTAGGGGCATCTTTCTCCAGCGGCTGGCCACAAGTCTCCCTGTCTCCCAGGGAAGAACTTGGAACCTGAACTGTGTCACCAACTGCCTGAGGATGTAAACAAATCCATTCCCATTGTAGGAGCTGCTCTGTAGCTTAAACACCTCCATGGATCTCCCAATAGATGATGTATCTGCATGGATTTTAATTGTTCACAGCTTTGGAAGCCAACCTGCATGGGGGGGGGGGGAAGGGTGCAGATTTCTGCGGGGCCTCGTTGAGTAATGTTTGTGCTTCTGTTTCATTCCTTTCAGGACAACAGTTTAGTGAAGATTTTAACAAGGTCAACATCTTAAGGAAAGTACCAGTTCTGAAAGATGGAGATTTTACTTTAGAAGAGAGGTGAGAGCTGTGTGTGTGTGTGTGTGTGTGTGTGTGTGTGTGTGTAAAAAATTATATCCCACCCATCTGGCTGGGTTTCCCAAGACACTCTGGTCAGTTTACAGCATATATAAAAACACAACAAAACATCAAATGTTAAAAAAAAAATTCCTATACAAGCAGCAAACCAACCAATAAATCAATAGAAACCATTAAAAATAACAATAATAAACAGTTTAGAGTTATGCCCAAATTAAAATAACCACCAACCCCAACTAAACATTTAACCAACACCAACCCGACAAAAACAAAACAGATACAGTGCTACCTCTGGTTACAAACGGAATCCATTCTGGAGGTCCGTTCATAACCGGAAACCGCTCGTAACATAAGGCATGCTTTCACTAATGGGGCCTCCCACTGTGCGCACGCCTCTGGTGCGTGATTTCCGCTCGCATCCTGGGGCCAAGTTCACAACCAGCAGCGGCTACTTCCGGGTTAGTGGAGCTTGTAATCCGGAGCATGTGCAACCAGAGGCATACACAACAAGAGGTACCACTGGATAGATAGATAGATAGATGATAGAAAGATAGATAGATAGATAGATAGATAGATAGATAGATAGGAAAATGAATAATTTGGACCACCTGCTGCTTCCTCCTCCTCTCCCCCCCCCCAATCTCTGTGGGGCAATTTACACCTACCTGGCTCCGGTAATAAGGTGCCCCTGGCAAGGATGCTCCTTCTCCAACTCTGCCTTTTGGCCCCACAGCACCGCCATCCTCCTTTACCTGAGCCGGAAGTACAACACACCCAGCCACTGGTACCCACCAGATATGAAGAAGCGGGGCCGTGTTGATGAGTTCCTGGCTTGGCAGCAAAGCACCATCCATGTCAGCTGCTCCAAGATCTTCTGGCTCAAGGTGAGGTTGTGGCTCGGTCCCTCTGCAAGGCTTGACTGGTCCCGTACTCCATGGAATTTGGCACCCGGTGCAGTGTCTCTTGTTTATTTGATTGATTGATTTTATATACCACTCTATACCTGCAGCTCTCAGGGCAGCCTACAAATTTTGTGACACCAACAAACATCTAAGGGGCAAGACCCAACTGCTCAAACTGTAGGAGAGCGCCTGGTTGGGCTGTGAACGAGTCTCTGACATTTGCCTGACCAAACGAACCCATTTTGGAGGGCAGATATGCCCCCATGACAATATACTGTTGGGGCCTCGTAATGTGAAATGAAGGACATGAGGCAGGAGTTGGTAATGCAGGTGAGCTGTGCACAAGCAAGCTGCCAGCTAGCTCTGTTGAGGCTCTTTTTATTGGCACAATATGCAAAACCAGGCAGATCCATTTTGGACTGTGACCTTTACACATCTTCCAATCCCAAGACTGAGGGGTGGTACAAGGTTATTTTGGCACCTGTTTCCACCGCGTCACTTTCCTCTTGCACAAAGGTCACAGACAGGGCACGGCAGACCACTAAGAGAGCAAAAGGTTAGATAGAGGGCAAGGTGTTCAGACAGCTGTGGGTTTGTGGGGGGGGGGAGTGTGCTCCGCACCCCAAGGTCACGCGTGCAGACAGCTGAGGCTGCCCGCGGGCAGAGGTGTGCTCCACACCCAGCGATCATTCCTACAGTAATGTTATTCTCTTGTGGTTTGTCCCCACCCCCACCATGGCTCTACTTCTGGATTTTGACCTTTGGTGCTTTTTCCTTGTGGGGCAGGTAGTGATCCCCATGTTCATAAATCAGCAACTGCCTCCTGAGAAGCTCCACGATGTCACAGAGGACCTAACCACCAACCTCCAGAAGCTGGAGGATAAGTTCCTGAGGGACCAACCCTTCCTCATTGGTACCGAGATCTCCCTGGCGGACCTGGTGGCCATCGTGGAGCTCATGCAGGTCAGCCCTGGGGAAATCAAAGGAAAAGGAGTCTTCTCCCTCCTGCTTGAGGGCTTCCTTGAAAGGGGACCTGCCTGGAGGTCTTTGGGGTGGAGATCAGGAGGAACAGTGGAGGCCTGATGACTGCATGTGCCCCCTCTCTCCCTCTCCAGTGCATGGGAGCCGGCTGGGAAACCTTCGAGGGCCGACCCAAGCTTCAGGAGTGGCGCAAAAGGGTTGAGGTGTTCCTGGGCAAGGAGCTATTTGCGGAAGCGCACGCACGGATCCTGAACAATCAAGAGATGAGGAACATGACCATTGACCCATCACTCAAAGTCCAACTGAAGCCCTTTCTCTTGAAGATGATGAAATAAAATGGGCACTACAAGCTCCTCCCTTCGCTTTCTGCTCTGGTATTTCTTAACTCCTGGGTTTTTCCGCTTTGCCCTGTCAGGGAGGGGGTTCCACGTTTTCTGCCACGGGGTGACTGGTTGTTATGCACATGCGAAAGAACTCACTGACACCTTTTGCAAATTAAATGTAGAAAAAAATAACCTGAAATGCTGCAATAATAATAATAATCCTAGAATAATAAATCAAGCAATTTTGCAAACAGTGAATTCAAAGTACAGTGGTACCTCTGGTTACGTAGTTAATTCGTTCCAGAGGTCCGTTCTTAACCTGAAACTGTTCTTAACCCGAAGCACCACTTTAGCTAATGGGGCCTCCCGCTGCTGCCGCACCGCCGCTGCCCGCTTTCTGTTCTCATCCTGAAGCAAAGTTCTTAACCCGAGGTACTATTTCTAGGTTAGCGGAGTCTGTAACCTGAAGCGTATGTAACCCGAGGTACCACTGTACAAATTGTGGAATTTGGGGAGATTTGGATGAGGGCAAGGAATGAAAGAGGCCTCAGTGATCTCATTATGCTTTCAGGGGACAGAGCTTGAAATGAGGGACATCAGACGGAAAACAACCACAAAAGGCTTTTGATGTACAGTAATTTAAAGTTTCTGCTCATCAGTCCTCGATGGATCACACTGTGTGTGTGTCTGTGCGTTGGTTCTATGCAACAAGGACCTCTGGAGGAAGATCTATCACGTCACAATTGTAGAGTTTGCAGAAAGGCTTTCATAACCACATGGAACTGCCTGCAAATATTTGGCTTTCTTGGCTGGGTACCGTTGTGAGCATCTGTTGGATAGGGAGGGAGGGGAGCAGGAATGTGAGATGAGGGTGTGGCAGATTGGTATGGGCTGGGCCCAGGTGCAGGGCACCTTTGCCAAGTCTCCTGGGCTCAGTGCTTTTCACTGTAGCGTTGAGGGCTTTTTTTTGCCTTTACCTAAAGCAGGGGTCTGCAACCTTTAAGACAAAAAGAGCCTCTTGGACCCGTTTCCGAAGGAAAAAAAACTGGGAGCTGCAAAACCGGGAAGGTGACGTCGGCACGGTGCATGACTAACGCACGCACCGCCCCCATGCGACGTCACAGCCAGTACAGCGCCCGCCACAGTGGGGAGTGTCGGGGCGCACAATGCGCCTCCTCCCCTCGCTAGTATCCGCCCTGGAGCCGCGGCAAAGGTGTAAAAGAGCCACATGCGGCTCCGGAGCCGCGGGTTGCAGACCCCTGACCTAAAGTATCCTCCCCATAGCCACTGAGGCATGTGTCTGCCTCATCCTCATTTTAAAGGGGAACTGAAGCCAACATAAAGTGACCACCTCGGATAAAATGATCCCCATGTAAGTCCCCAATGGAGTTTGCCCTTTTCTTTCGCCAATGCTGTTTCAAACAGAAAACCAAAAAGGGCAGGTGGGGAGACTGCTTTTTGGTTCCTGGCTGATACCTGGAAATTTGCTCAACAGCAACTAATGTTTCTAGATGACCCCTTTGGGGAAGGAGCAGGGATTGGCAGGCCAAGTCCCTGCCCCTCTCAGATTGCTTGGTTGTCCCCAGAGCCATTTCCCACCCATCTATCTCTACCTGTGTGAAGCAGCTCAAAGAACGAGCGAGCGAGGGGCTCTTTGCCAGCACACGCAGACCCCTAGAGCTGTGGGTCACTTTCCCTGCTTCCTGATGTCAGCAGAAGAGCCACAGCTGAGTGGTAGGGCGGCTGCTTTGCATGCAGAAGGTGCCAGATTCAGTCCCCCAATGGCATCTCCAGGTAGGGCAGGGAATGTTCCCTAGACAGCCACGGCTGCCAGTCAGTCCGGACAATACTGAGCTACATGGTCATGCTTTGTATGTTCCATCCCACATGTTCAAAACCTCGCTCTGAAGCGCAGAATCACACCCTCCAGCCAGTGGTGGACTTTGGGCTTTAACATTTCAGCCGTGTGCAATGCCAAAATTCGGCTCAGCACCCAATGCAGGCAAACCGGTCGCACTCCCCTAAATCTGCCTCTGTTCCAGCTATGGGAACATAAAACTCCAGTCAGTGGCATTGGAAGAGTCCGCTGTGCTTTGCAGGGCTCAGCCAGGGGCTTTTTGGGTCAGGAGTCTGCAACACTTCCAGTTGCCCCCTTTTTCAGGAAGCTGTTGCATTGTGGGTCTTTCTAGAGCTTCCTGCAGTAGGTGAGGTGGTTTTCGAGGATGCTTAAAAGCTGTGTTCTCCCAGCTACATTCAGGCTTTTTTCTTTTTAAACCTTGGTAAAGCAGCCAAAGGGACACGGGTGGCACTGTGGGTTAAACCACAGAGCCTAGGACTTGCCAATCAGAAGGTCGGCGGTTCGAATCCCTGCGACGGGGTGAGCTCCCGTTGCTCGGTCCCTGCTCCTGCCAACCTAGCAATTCTAAAACACGTCAAAGTGCAAGTAGATAAATAGGTACCGCTCCAGCGGGAAGGTAAACGGCGTTTCCATGTGGTGCTCTGGTTCACCAGAAGCGGCTTAGTCATGCTGGCCACATGACCCAGAAGCTGTACGCCGGCTCCCTCGGCCAATAAAGCGAGATGATCGCCGCAACCCCAGAGTCGGCCACGACTGGACCTAATGGTCAGGGGTCCCTTTACCTTTTTAAAGCAGCCAAACACTTTGTGGGGATGGGGGATTAGTGCATAATGGTATGCACAAGAGAGACCTTGGCCAGCTCTACCAAGTGGACAGTTTACTTTTTAAAGAATAGGTAAGCAGTAAAAGGATGAGCATAAAAATAACCTTGAGGTTTCATTGCCCTTTTGGAAGGGGAGGGGGAGAGGAAACCCTGGATCAGAGGCAAAGCTGCAGCGACTGTTTTGGCTTCTCTCCAATTATGATTCCTGCCTCTGGCACCTACCTGCCAGCAAAGTGCTTTACAACAACCCTTCTGACCCTCGTGATAATAACTCTGGGGCTTTGGCCTTATATTCCCTGCAGTCATGGCTGAGCGGAAGGCCGAGTCTCATCTTCAAGAAACAAGCACTGGAAGGGAACACGTGTTTTTTAATTGTCCATGGGATGCGACTCAATGGCTTTTCGAGAAAACAAAGACACGTAAAAGAGAACTCCCACTGCGGCAGAGGGAGCTCAGGCAAAATGAAGGGTGGTGGGACAGCAAAAGACCTTTTCGAGAAGTGGGTCTGAAGAGAAAATGAGTAACTCCCCTTCCCCCAAGAGAGGGGTCCCCGGAGCTGGTGGAGATGTTGGCACTGGTCTTTGGGGGTCTTTGGCCAACTCACAAGAAAGTCATGACCGTCCCATTCTTGCCAATCTGCCAGGGTTCCAGCGGGTAAAATCGGATGTTGATCCTGTGGGGGTGGGAGAAGATATGGAAAGTCATGGCAGGCAGTGAAGAAAGGCACCCAAGGTTGTGTACGGCAGTGGCAGCCCCTGCCACAGAAAGTGCCATCCAATCCTTTCCCTGTCTTGTACTCTGCATCCTTTGCCCAGGAAGAGGGCACCACTGGGGCTGGTTTTCTTCCTGAATGCTTGGGGAGCAGCAGGTGCCAACTTGAATAAAATACGGGGGGGGGGGGGGCTTAAGCCCTGCATAATTGATCACATAGTGTGGTGAACACCCCCCATTTGAATGGCAATGCCCATCTACTGGGGGGCAGCCCCCTAATAATAATAATAATTTATTATTTATACCCTGTCCATCTGGCTGGGTTTCCCCAGCCACTCTGGGCGGCTTCCAGCAAAATATTAAAATACAGTAACGCATCAAACATTAAAAGCTTCCCTAAACAGGGCTGCCTTCAGATGTCTTCTAAAAGTCTGGTAGTTGTTCTCTTTGACATCTGGTGGGAGGGCACTCCACAGAGCGGGTGCCACTACCGACAAGGCCCTCTGCCCGGTTCCCTCAAATATATTATTGGGGACCCCAAACCTATTCCATGGGTATAGCCAGGATTTTTTTTTGGAGGGGAGAACTCTGTTAAGGGAGCAGAACCGACACAATTGATCCGTTAGTTAAGTATTCCTACTGTTTTACTTGATCTAGGGGGGGAAACTGCCCCATCCCCAAGCTACACCCATGGACCCCTCGGCCCCTAGGAGTTTGCTCCTATGGAGGAGGAGGCAGTCACAGCGTGTCAAAAGGTGCTGAGGCGGGGTTGGGAGCAGTTTCTTCTAGCCGACTATAACCTTCCTCCCGCGATCGAGGAAAGGCGGCGAGGAGGGAGGAGGAGTGGGCGCGCTCTGGAAGCTGGAGGTCACCCAAGGAGAGCGCGCTGGCAGCGCCCAGGATTGTCAGGAGATCCCTCGCCTTCCAGGCCTCCTTGCCTACCCGGGGCTCGATCCTTCCTCCCTCCCTCGGCCCAGACTCGCCTGTCGGGGCCGAGGCCCAGCTCCTTGGTGAGGAAGTCGAAGAGGCGGGCGCTGTGGCCCTTGTTCTGCTCGGCGGTGCCCACCACGCCGATGGAGGAGACGACCAGCTGGGCGCATGGAGCCGCAGACCCCGACAGCACCATCGCCGCGTCGCTGCGCACCGTCACGTTCACCCGCTGAGACCCAGAGGGGGGGAAAAAGACAGTGAGTTTCTGCCCGGCCGGCAGGACCCGGGATCCCGATCCCTGCGCCCCCGGGGTGGCCGGCAGCGCCCCCTCACCTCCTGGGGCTTGTCCAGGATGGTAGCCACGGCGGCGCACAGCTTGGCCGGCAGATCGCGGGGCAGCTGCGCCGCCGGGAGGCTCGTCTCCAGCTCCACGAAAGGCATCGCGGCTCAAGAGAGGCGGCGATGCGGGTACCGGGTCCCTTTGCGCGGCCGCCGCTGCCTCCTCCTCCTCCTGACTTCGGCATTGGCTACGCCGGGAGACTCGCCCCCTCCAGACCGGCCCCCTTCGAGGCGGGGTCGCGGCTCCCGGCGCTGGGAGGAGCCGATCGGCTGCGGGACACAGCGGGCAGAGTCCCGTTTTCTCCTCCCCTCCCCGGAGACGGTTTGCTTAAGGGCTGGCAAGCAGCAACCCTGTCGGGGTTCCCTCAAAGGGCGAGCCCCGGATGCTGCCAGTCCGTGCAGGCAGCACGGGGCCCGGTGGAGCCCCGGAGCGTGATTCCCGTGCTCCGATCCCGCCCTTGGCCTCAGCAAGAGGGCAGATCCGAGGCGGGAGAAGCCGGGGCCGCGGTCCCTTGCTGGGGTCTGGCGCTTCTCGGGCAGGGAAGCAGCAGCAGGCGGGCCTTGCTCCGGCTGGGCTGCGGAGATGATGATAATGATAATAAATAAATAAAAATAAAATAATAATAATAATAATAATAATAATAATAATAATAATATTTATACCCGCCCTCCCCGGCCAGAGCCGGGCTCAGGGCGGCTAACACCAGTAAAATTACAGTAAAAACATCATAGGAAAAAAACTCCAATTTAAAATACAGGTTAAAATGCAATTTAAAATGCAGCCTCATTTTAAAAGTAGCTTTGCACGGCTTGGGGAACAGCTGCAAACGGGGCAGCGCCCCAAATCTCCTTTGGGGGCTCAATAATGCAGGGATATGCAGGTGTCCCATACGAGCCCCTTTCTGAAAATGCACAAGGGGTAGCCGCTTCCATCCCGCCTCCGGCAGCATCTCCAAGGAGGGCTGTCAATGTCTCCATGCTGAGACACTCCGCTGCCACGAGCCTCGTCGTCTCACGGCGGAACAGCCCCTCTATTTTTTTATTGGGTCTAGGGCGGCCTTTTTGGCGGGAAAACACACAGCGCAGCCTCGGTGGAGACCACGCCCTCTTTTCGCCCCCTCCCCTCGAGGCCACCCCCCTTCCCCCCCCCTCACAGCATCCCGCTTCCTTATTGGGCGGCCGCCGCGGACCAATAAGGAGCCGCTTTGCTTGCGGCGGCGGCTTCTCCTCCCGGCTCAGCTCGGCGCCCTGACAGGCGGGAGTCCAGCCGGTACAGCCTGCGCTGACCTGACGCGTCCGGCCCGCCGCACCTGCTGGGTTTCCGCCTGGGCTCGAGCTCGCGTTGGCGGCACCGGTGGGCGGCAATACGGGCCCTTCTTCCGTCCCTCAGGTGCTGAGGCGCCCCGCTTGGCTGTCAGTCAGGCCTCGCACCCGCCCCGGAAGTGGGGGGCGGGGTACGCTGGAGCCCGGTGGCAGACACCGCCAGGGCGTTGTGTCAGCCGAAGGCTCAGTAAGCCTTCACCTTTTCCGGCTTCCTGTCTTAAAAGGCCATGAAGCGCCCCTCCCCTTCCCCTTCCCCTCAATATTTCATTGGTAAGCTTCTCAGCGGCAGAGCTCTTGGCTTTGCAGTGCTCAGCACCTCAAGCCTGCAGGTGCTGGGCCCCAGCCTTCTCTGCGAGCCTGGACTGCTGTTGCCAGTCAGAGCAGCCAGCGGATGGGCAAGGAGGCTGGTATCTTTCTCTGTTCCTGCCGGTGCTGCTGCCCTTCCTCTTGAGCTCTGGTTCTGCTGCAAAGGCCTGCTGGCCTGACCCATGCTCTGCACTCTGCAAGCCTGGACAGCTGTTGCCAGTCAGAGCAGCCAGCGGATGGGCAGGGAGGCTGGTATCTTTCTCTGTTCCTGCCGGTGCTGCTGTCCTGCCTCTTGAACTCTGGTTCTGCTGCAAAGGCCTGCTGGCATATCCCATGCTCCGCAGCCCTGGGCAACATGGATGAAAGGCTTGCACGCAGAAGGGACTGGCACTCAGGTCTTTGGTATCCCTAGTTGGGGGTGGGAGAGACTCCCTGCTTCAAATACTGGAGAGCAGCTGCCCCTTCAGTGCTGTGCTGGGTGGACATGGTTCTCTGATTTGCTGTAACGGGCCAGCCTCTGTTGTCTTGTTGTTTGCTTGGGTGACATTATATTGATGGTGGTATATAAAAGCATTGGTTTGGGCCTTTTGTTCATATACGTATGATGCCCAAAGGATTGTGCTTCCTCTGCGTAAGTGGACACTCTTCGTAAATCAATTTTTGAGATGGGAAGGGAGCTCAGTTTGTTTTGGGAGTATCTGTAGATGCACCAGCTTTTCTGCCATCTCTTCTGGCTTCACAAGCTCGCTCTGGCTTTCCACATGTCATTTACTTCCCATAACAGGAGCTTGAGAAATCTCTTGCATTTCTCAACTAATAGACATCTATTAGTTTGGGATGTCTCAGGGTTTCTTTTAAATCCAACTGGAAGTAATATTTCAGTGTTTCAGCGAGCATTTGCCCTTCTGTGGCAATGTGCTCTGTTGCAGGGCAGACGATTCTAGTTTGATCAATAAATTATGTGGGTTTTGCTCCTTAGATTCATGAGTGAACTGAACCAACAGAGGTGGCGAATGGCAACACTGAGTCTTCAAAGATGGTAAAGTAGCCGTTGACTCCTTTATTTGGAAAAAGTTGTGGTGGCAGGTCTCAGTGAAAGCTGGATACTGCTTCCCCATAGATACTTCTGGCTTGCTCTTCTATTTATGTGGGAACTCCACTTCTCTTTCCCCTTTGTATTCTAATCTGGTGTTGGTGCATGCTATTAGACTGTTACTTATGCGTTAACTCTTCATAGAGAAGTTAATAACTGTAATCCAAATGGCTTCACTATTCCCTGGCAAGGTGGCTGTATCTTCCCTCTGGCTCTCTTCCTTCAACAATGGTTACTGGTGTCCCATATTTTGCCCCTACTATTTGTTAATGGGTGTTTTGAGGGAGAAACTGCTGAAATTCTGGTAGTAAGTTAGAGACCACCCATTGCAATGGATTTATCAGCAGCACACACTACTGCTTTTTTGTCCCACTTCTAGATCAGGATTGCAGCATTGAATGCTAGTTCCACTGTTGAAGATGACCATGAAGGGACCTTTAAAAGCCACAAAACACAGACAAAGGAGGCACAAGTAAGCAAAGTTCTGCTGTAAGCCCTGAGCTGGTGTTTTCTTCTGCTCTGAGCAAAGTCAGTTAATTAAAATGTCAATTTTGATCTCTAGGAAGCAGAAGCATTTGCCTTGTACCATAAAGCTTTGGACCTTCAGAAACATGACCTCTTCGAAGAATCTGCCAAAGCTTACCATGAACTGCTTGAAACTCGCCTCCTGCGAGAGGTCAGTGAAATGGGATCAATGTGGGTAAAGCTTTCCTCCTACTAGGTGGTGTGGGGTGTGTGGTCCGCTCTCTCTGCTACAAGCACTCACCTTGTGGAGACCTACAGCAATCTCAGGCTTAACCATGAGAAGGTCTTTTGTTGAGATGAGGCTCGGGGAGTTTGATGGCCCCAAGTTTGCCAGGTTGTGAGCTACCAATAACATACAAGTGGGAGGAAGCTCCTGAGTGGGGGCAAATGTCAGAGTATCTCTTTGTGAAATACACGCTGAATCATGTCCAGCATTTGTAAGCTCAGTGGGCATCAGGATTATTCAATAACCTGATGAGCATTTGAATGCTCATCATAGGTCAGTAGTGTGATGATCCACTCTTCCAAACCTTCATTTTTTGTAAGAATTTAGACTTTAGATGCTGTTTCACTAAAACGCTGCTTGTTTTCAACAATCTCCACTGATTGTTAGGGGCTCTCCAGGGTCTTTCCCTGTTAGCTGCTACCTGAGATCCCTGTCTCACTGAAGATGGTGCCTTGTGTCTTCTGCGTGCAGAGCATCTGCTCTTCTGCATGAAGATTTGAGTGGTTGGATAATAGATATCCATTTCTAGAGGTGGTTAAGCAGCTCGCTGGGCCTTCAACCCTCTGGAGTTTCTTAATAAGCAGAGAGAGGGCAACCACCCCCCCCCCTTATTATTTGTTGTAGTGGGTCTGTGGGCTATTTGATACTGATTGTATTTTACAACAGTGTCTGCTTTGCTTTTTGAAGTCCCTCGGGTGCTCCGGAATGATGCACGCTGGCACCTTGCGGGTTTGTAATCATTCTGTGTTATTAATGAAGGTTTTTATCTCAAACTGCATCTCTCGTCTACAATTTTCAGGCAATTCCATCTGGTGATGAGAGGGAGGGCTTAAAGCACCCGGGCTTGATGCTAAAGTATTCTACTTACAAAAACTTAGCTCAGCTCGCAGCGCAGCGCGATGACTTTGAGACAGCCATGGAGTTCTACTTGGAGGTACAGGCATCTCTCCTTCACACTCACCAGGGCCAGAGTTTCTGCCTCACATGCATTTAATGCTGCAGCAGAGAGGACCCTGGGGCGCTAAGCCGCAACACTCAGCCACGAGGAAGGCCGAGGCTTGGTGGGCCAGATCCAGGATTCACCACTCTTACACTAGAGCCTTGTAACCCCAAACTGTTAGTGCAACTTCCAGGTTCCATTGTGGGTACAATTTACACTTGTGTGTGTATGTAAAAGTGTATTGTTATATACTGTGTTTTCCAGGCTGTAATGCTAGACTCGACAGACGTCAACCTGTGGTATAAGATTGGGCATGTGGCACTCAGACTGATGCGCCTGCCTCTGGCACGCCATGCCTTTGAAGAAGGACTCACCTGTAATCCAGACCACTGGCCTTGTTTAGATAACCTTATTACAGTTCTCTACACACTCAGTGACTACACAAGTAAGTTGTATTCATTTTGTTTTATTTTTCCAAATAAAGCTCATTACATCTATTGGTACAGGCAGCTGCTGGAGTTGCTGTTTTGGATTGCTTGGGTTGGTGTTGATCACTTTTGGGTTGTTGGGAGGGTGAAAATAGCTTGATAGCGAACTCTGTTGTTTTGAGATAAGCTGTTGGTAGTTTAGTCATTTCCTATTGAGGGCTAGAGGGTGGGTATTGTTCATTACTGTTTATATGTATATTTTTTAAAAAATCTATAATCTGTTTTAAAAAAAGACTATACAGTAAATCAGTTTACAAATCAAAACATGCATTATATAAAAAGATGTGAACACAAGATCAAACAACAGTTCTTAAAACAATAGTCGGACGACTTCCGGCGAGGCAGCATGGCGGCAGCAGCAGAAGAAAAGAGCTCCTGAAGCCAGCCAGAATAAAAGGCTCTGGCGACCGATTCCCGGACCCCCCAGGACTGCTGCTGCCAGCCACGCCAACGGAGAGGAATTGGGGGTGCCCGGGCATCTATCAAAGGAGCCAAAACACCCCCCCACGACCTTGATTGAGCCGGAAAGGCACCCGACCCCCCCCAACAGCCGAGAGGAGCTCCAAAACCAGGAGGACAGTGGAGCTAAAGCAAAGAGGGAGAAAGAAAGGGAGAGAGAGGAAGGAAAAGAAAGAAAGAAAAAGGAGCCCCAAATTTACCGTTGCTGCCCCCATCTCTGCCGACGGGAAAGTAGAGGAGAGGTAGGTGAGCACGGTGAAGGCAAAATAGGCTTCGGGGAAGGAAGGGAGGAAAAAACACACGTGGCTGAGCCCTACCGGGAGCTCCAGCGGCAAGGAAAACACAGAGAAGCTGCATAACAAAGGAGACCACAGAAAAGAAAAAACAACCTTCCCCCCCTTTTTTTTTTTAACTCCCCCCTTTTTTTAACCCCTTCCTCCCCCTCCCTCCCTTTAAAGAAAATATATATATACATCTTTCTTATCCCTCCCCCCCATATACCTACTTTTACCACTTTTCTTTTTAAAAGAGGGGCCACTGCTGCTGCAGCCACCCTTTATTTGAATCTTTACTTTTATTTCTATCTTTTCTACTCACTATTTAAAGACACACTTTTCCACACACACATCCTCAATTTAAACCTCATTTTATTTCCACCTCAAACTCCCCTCTTAAGATTTAAAATGGCAGTACCCAGAAAACAGCCCTGAACCATCACAGGCCATTTCCTGGGACTGCCACTTCGCCCCAGACTTTCCACTCTCTTTTACCTACCCTCTTTTACCTATACTTTACTCATTTTTTTTAAAAAAAATAAAAAGCTCTATCTAAAGACAACCCCCCTTTTTTTTTTTACCTTTAATTCTCATTTTTATCTTTTACCCGTACATTTTTGGTTGCTTTTCTGCAGACGGAGAGTGGTGGCGGTGGTTGGGGGGACATATTATTATTATTTTTTAAAAGACAGAGCAGAGCCATACAATTATTCTTCTTTTCTTTCTCTTTTTAAAGCTCTTGTTGGCTTGCTCCTGAGGGGCGAATCTTTCGCCCCCAGCTACGACCACCACTCTCTTTTAAAACAAAAATTTCCTCCATATACCCATTTGGAAAAAAAAAAATAATTGCATGGTTTTGTTTGATTTGTTTTTCTTAAGAATAATATTTCCCCCTGGTTATTGTTGTTATTTTTTGTTTGTGGGAAAGTAATTAAAAATGGAGGAAAATTAAAACATATACCCTCTAATCTCTTGCATCTCTACCTACTAACCCCCTTCCCTTTATATGAACTGTCTGTCCATTAGTCTACCCATCTCTGCTTACCTGCCCCCCCCCCGCCTCGGCGGCACCGCTGAGGCATCTACAGAAGCCCTAGAGAAGTTCTTAAAACACAGGCTAGAAGTGACACAAATGACCACCTAATCCAAACGCTCTGTAAAAGCCACCAGCCAACAAAGCCTGATCAGCTCAGCAACCCAACAATACCCAGGAATCACCACTGCCACAACTCCTAACCATCACACGCCCAACCCCAAGAGGATGCCAAGCCAACCTCAAACCAAAACCATCAGGGAGACCGAGATGACACCAACCAGGGAGATGGCAAACAATGCTAAGATGGTAACTCCCCTTCAAGATGATGACCACCCAATAACGAAACGAGATCTGAGGGAAATGGAAGCACGATTAGAAGAAACACTGAAGGCCACAATGGCTCCCATGCAGGTACTAATCAACAATCTAACCTCCAAAGTGGAAGCTCTAGAGAACAAGAACCAAATGCAAGAAAGAATAATAGAACAATACCGGGAGGAGAATGCACGTGTGAACAAGAAACTGGACGAACTGGTAAACCAAATGGAAGCAGAACACAACGAGATGAAAATTAAGCAAGCCGACCTTGAAGACCGCAATAGACGTTGTAACATCCGCTTCCGCAACTTTCCTGAAAAAACAGAGGAGGAAAGCCCAGCAGACCTAATTATACGCTGGCTGAAAAACACAATCCCAAGCCTGAAACTTGAGGCAGATGACTTGGAGAGGGCTCACAGAGCCCTAAAACCTATGCCAAAACCCAGCGCCCCCCCGAGAGACATCATTGTATGCTTCACACGCTACCAAAAGAAGGAAGAGGTATGGAACAACATCAGAAACTTAACCAACCTTCGATACGGAGAAACCCCCATCCTGGCCTTACAGGACTTATCCCAGGATACCCTAAACCGGAGGAAAAGCCTGCGCCCATGCACCCAGCGTCTCCAACAAGCAGGGATCAAATACCGATGGGGCTTCCCCTTCCGCCTCATTGTAACAACGAACACAACACAACACATGGCTACCAACATACCTGAGGCCCTGCAACTACTAAAGAACCTTGAACTCGACCTCCCGCCGGAATGGAAACCGACAAACCCACCAAGTGACAGCCCCAACCACGAGGAAACAACAGCAAACAACTGGACAACGGTACAGAAGAAAAAGATACAAAAGATACAACAGAAGCGGCGCAACAACGCAAACCAATACAGGCAAGCATCATGCTCAGAACCGTCCCGCCGGCCATACGACACAAGAAACCAGACCAAGATCAACCAAACCAACTCATCGCAGATGGACAACCCTACAACAACAACAACCCCGGCTGAAAGAAGCAACCAGGAAAAACCCACAAACTGAAGGACTGGTGATTCCCCCCCTTTTTTTCCCCTCCCCCCCAAAACATAGATTTAGTTAACACCATCAACATCCCCCCCAGCCCCGCACCCCCACAGAAATCCCCACCCCAACACCAGTCCAGACGACCTCAACCACATTCCCCATCACCCACACCTTCAACATCCTCATACTCCATACTAAGGAAAAACAACTCCAACCTTAATAACACAACCCACAATCAGGCTAAAATCTGATACCCAACCAGCACTATGGTGGCACCAGAGCGTACCAGCACCCACATCCCCACACCAACAATGTTGCTCATAATACTGGCAACACTGCTTACAAACCTTATACCTGACAGCGACGTTACAAAGTCACTTCACACTGTCTCGCTGATCACCCCCTATCGCAGACAACAGGGGGGATGGCCTGTCCTTGAACATGGCCTTCCACACCAGCTGAGACCTAGGACCAACTGGCTAAATGCCAGATGGCCCAAAATACCCCAAACAAACACCTATATGACTACATATAGGAAACTCCCTACAACTTACCCCCTACTCTTTAACCCAAATCTCACTCTAATCCTACTAGCCCCCCACCCACCACACCCTAGGTCAGCGCAACCCCACTGGTTCTTTAAACAACACGAAGAGAGAGACACAAGACAACCCGAACGGGTTGGCAGGGAATCGCCCCACATAATAGATAAACAAAATGGCTAACCTAAAAGCAATTACATTAAACGTGAGGGGGCTGGGAAACCCCATCAAAAGAAAACGCATCACCTCATACATAAACACCATGAAACCACACATCACCTTCCTACAAGAAATACACAATCCACCCAAAGGCAGCAAACTCCTGAGCGACCCCCGCTTTAGTCAACAGTGGGTCGCAGGAGGCTCAGGGAAAGCCCGTGGTGTAGCCATAATACTCAGTAGGGACCTGAACTTCACTGCCACAACAGTCCTCAAGGACAAAAAAGGCAGATTCATTTTCGCTAAAGGGACACTAGATGGCAAAATCAAACTGACAATCGGCTCCATATATGCCCCAAACACGAAACAACTAGAATTCTTCCAGAAAACACTAAACAAATTCCTCTCCTTCTCTGAAGGGGAAGCAATCCTAGGAGGGGACCTCAATCTAAACATGAAAGGTATATCCCTGAAAGATATCCACCACACAACCCCATGGGCAACCTTCCTCCGAAGGAAACCCCCAACAACCAGGAACTCTTACAAGTTACTAAAAATGCTAAAAAACAGGGGTCTCTATGACATTTGGGGTGAGCAAAACCCGGGAGACATCAGCCATACATTCCAATCGGGACGCCATGATACAGTGTCCAGACTGGACAGCATTCTACTCACACAGGGTCTGATTCCCTCAGTAGAATCAACAAACATAGGTAACATTAAAATCACAGATCACGCCCCAGTAGAAGTCACTGTTAAAATAGGAGAAGGAACACAAACCACCCCATCATGGTCCTTCAGTCCCATCCTAACTACAAACAAACAAATTAGAGAGAGTCTCACAAAAACCCTCCAAAACTACTTCAAAGAAAACGATGTAAACAATACAACAACCCCCCTCCTATGGGACGCAATGAAAGCGGTCACCAGAGGAGCTTGCATAAAAGAGAAAACATTCCTTAAAAAACAAACCTCCTCAAAAATTAGCAAAATAGAACAAGACATCACAGTCCTCTTATCACGCTACAAACAAACAGGATCTAAAAAACTCCTCAAACTTATAGAACAGAAAAGGAAAGAACTAGACTCCTTAGAAATCAACAAAACAATGATCAACATTCTATACTCTAAACAACGTTTCTATGAATATGGAGGGAAAAACTCCAGATTACTAGCAAATAGATGTAGGAAAAAAGCACTCAAAACAAGAATACACTGCATCACCAAAAAAGACGGCAACATAACATTCTCCCCCAAAGAAATAATTTCAGAATTTGCAGAATTTTACTCCAACCTATACACCTCCCATAACCCACCAGAGAGGGAAATCAAAAAATTTCTAGCAGGACTGACCATGCCTACCCTAACTGATGAGGAACAGGAATTCATGGATAGCCCTATCACCCCAGAGGAAATAGATGCGGTCCTCAAAAACTTGAAACCACACAAAGCCCCAGGCCCAGACGGCTTCACAGCAGAATTCTATAAGAAATTCAAAGAACCCTTGATGCCCTACATGACCCGCCTATTCAACGACATCATAAAAGGGGGCCCCATCCCCAAAACCTGGACCCACTCCAAAATAGTCTCCATCCCAAAACCACTAAAAGACAGCCTCAAAGTAGAATCATACCGCCCAATCTCATTAATAAACCAAGACTACAAGATATTCACATCAATCTTGGCCAACCGCCTAAAAATCTTCCTACACAAGTTAATAGCCCCAGACCAGACTGGCTTTGTCCCTGGCCGCAATATAACAGACCCCATCAGGAAACTACTGAACCTGATCGAACACAGCAAGGCAACCAAACTCCCATTGACAATTATGTCCCTAGACATACTCAAAGCCTTTGATTGCTTGGAGTGGAAATACATATTAGCAGTACTAACTAACATGAAATTTGGCCCCAACTTCCTACAAATCCTCAAACAAATATACTCCCAAGCCTCAGCAAAATGCAGAACTAACAATATGGATTCTAACACTATAGCTATCCAAAGAGGCACGAAACAAGGATGCCCACTGTCTCCCTTCTTATTTATCCTGGCTCTGGAACCCCTAGCAATCCGCATCCGAGCAGCCACAGACATCAAGGGAGTGGAAATAAAAGGCAGAACCTATAAATTAGGGCTCTTTGCAGATGACCTAATGGTCACAACACCAGACCCCATAAGCACAGCAACCTCCCTAATCAGAGAACTCAACGCATTTGCAATGGTGTCGGGCCTACAGGTAAATTTCACAAAGTCAGAAGCTATGTGCTTCAACACCCCTCCTCACACCCAAAAAGAACTCACGAAGGTCACCAAAATAAAACTTTGCCACACCAAGTTCAGATACCTAGGGGTACAAATAACCAGAAACCTCAATAAATTATACCTCCACAACTACAAGCCCCTGTGGCGACAAATTAACAAAGACCTAAAGAGATGGAATAACATGAACCTCACTCTCTCAGACAAAATAGCCATGATCAAAATGACCACACTCCCAAAACTAACCTACCTATTCCAAACCCTCCCAATCTGGATCCCCTCAACCCAACTTCACAGTTGGCAGAGAAAACTACACTCTTTCATCTTCTCACATAAAAAACCAAGAATAAGCCCCAAATACCTGCACCTCCCCACCTCAGAAGGAGGATGGGGAATCCCCAACATAGAAGCATATTACACTGCCAACCAAATACGCCATATAATCCCATATATACTAGAAGATGAGACAAAACAATGGGTACACCTAGAGAGGGACACAATTGAAAACACCTGCACCACAACATACCCACTCCTCCCAGACAAACTAAGGAAAATTCCCACAACACTTAACAGGTACACACAGACCATGCTCAAAGCATGGAAAACACAAATAGGCAAACTATCCCCAACCCCATCCCCACTAATCCCCCTGGCGTACCACCCATTATTCCACCATGCAGCACAAAACCTCCAGATAAAAACCTGGCGAACCAAAGGCTTATATCGCCTAATAGACTTCTATAAAAACAACAAACCCTTGTCAACACAAGAAATACAAGACAAACTAGAAGACACCCAAATGCCCTGGTTAACACAACACCAACTACATGCCCTCTTAAACAACCCAACAGTAAAATCAGCAGCAACTAGGCCCCTGACAACCTTCGAAAACCTCCTCCTAACAACAAAGGGAAACGGTAAAGGGATGGTATCCGCAATATACAAAATACTGCTCCAAAATCCCGCAAATCCGCTAGACGCAATCAAAAAACAATGGGAGAATGACATAGGCTATGAGATTAACCCCACTCAATGGACCAGAATGTGGTCTAAACCCCCCTTTAAATCCATATCAACGAAAAGAAAAGAACTCACACTGAAACTCACCTACAGGTGGTACCTAACACCAAGGAAACTAGCGCTAATACACCCAGGAACCTCACCAAAATGCTGGAGAGGGTGCACCTCCACAGGCACATACTTCCACATGTGGTGGGAGTGTCCCAAAATCCAACTATTCTGGACAACAGCCATACAAGAAATTTGTAAAATAACTAAGCAAGTAATAGACACCACCCCAGAATTGGCCCTACTAAACATCTTCCAAGACAATAATGCCCATTTACACCACAAAGAACTCATAACCCACCTGCTCTCAGCAGCCAGAAACACCATAACCAGACACTGGAGAGACCTGTCAGGAGTAAGCATGGACCAATGGTATCAAATAGTATGGGAAACAGCCCTACTAGAAAAATTAACTAATAAACTGAAACTGACACGGGGACAAACAGAAGAAGATGCCTTCACCCCGGTATGGCTCCCCTTTATCACACACACAGCCCAACAGGACAATGACAATAATCCACCAACAGCATACAAATCAATATGGCTAACCTGATCCAAAACACCCACCCACCTCACTCACACACGAAAACAAAAGATCACCACAGCCAATCACAAGCAAACAATCACACCCTAGGCCAACCCCAACCTCTCTCACCACCAAAGGAACACAAGTGAACAACACAAGCACGCTGACACCAAACTCTACATACATTAAACATAATAGAAACACCGCCACCCAATCCCACCCTTATCCATCTTCCCCCTCTCCACCCCCCTTTCTTTTTTCTCTCCTTTTTTATTTTTTATTTTTATTTTCTTCTCCCCCTAATGCCTCAACAAATGAAACGGATTTGTAAAAATGTTACATGGGGAAAAATATATATGAGGCACTACACTTCTGTAAAACAAGAAAATCCTTAATAAAATATTTAAAAAAAAAAAAAAACAATAGTCGGACAATAACAGTGTTAACATAGCAAGCCAAAAGAATAATAATTAACCAGTAAGGGAAAATGATTCCTTGCATGTTGGTGATAAAGGGAATGGCATCAACACCATAAGGTGAGAAGCCCTCTAAAAAGCCCTTCTTTAACTAAAAACACAAAGTGCCGGGGTCTGGCGGCTCTCAGTTCCTAGGCTGGCTCTACAAAAATTCTTAATCCTTGGTTCAGCCCTAACTCTTAAGCCAGGGGCCATGGTTTCTATCTTCCGTGTGTCAGTGTGGTGGGGCAAAGTGGGCACGATTGACTTGTGTTCTCAATAAGCCATGATTTATGGCTTGCTCTGTGTAACAGAAATGTTTGGTATTGATTTGACGTGTCTGAACATACAGTTTTTACATCTTAAGGAAAAAATAATTTTCAAATAAAAACTTGACAGTGTGTTTGAATATAAACTAAGTCACCATACTTGGTGTGCTTTACTGTTTTATGCGCCCCCCGCCATCAGATATTTTTAGTTCAACACTTTGGGCTACTGGAAAAACCTTTGAGGTATTTATACAGCATGTGAAATGAAATGATATATTCCTTAGTTCTGTTTACAGACATGCCAAATTGGATCTTAGCATATCCCACCCGCTCCAGGAAGGCTACATCACTGTATACTATCAGAATGCTCCTTTGGGATGCACGTGACTTTCCGATATGGAAAAAGAGTTTAGGATGAATTTAAATTGTGGCTTTTGTTCCTCCCCTCAGCCTGCTTGTATTTCATCTGCAAAGCTCTGGAGAGGGATTGCCTGTACAGCAAAGGGCTGGTCATCAAGGAGAAGATCTTTGAGGAGCAGCCATGCCTCAGGAAGGACTCCTTGAGGATGTTCCTCAAAGGGTGAGTTTCTTCCAGAATTGAAGGTAAAGAATATTGATGTTCCTGTCTCGCATCGGAAGGAATAGTGGCAGAAGCTTCCATTTCAAAGTGAGGACACGCAGCCTCTTTGCCAGTTCCCAGAGGTTTGTTCTGTCTCCTGTTTGTGACCTAAAGCTGCTTCTCCCATATTGGAAAGGCAGAGAGTGCCACAACGAACCCACCGTTTTGTAGGCATCATGCTGTTGACATGCAGCTTCCAGAGTTGCTGTTGAACGGGTGTCCAAGTAATTAAGCTATTTTACTTTCAGCAGGGTAATTTAAATTTTGCTAAATTTAAAGGAATTTGCCTGGCTATGAAATGACACGGAAGCATCTAAACAGCTGGTTTGCTTCTTCTTTTGTTTTTCCAGTGACTTGTCAGTCCACAATGTCAACGTGAGTCCGTCTGAGACTAGAACGATCATCGAGGAAGCTCTGGAGTTGCGCAGGAAGAGGCAGGCACTCTTGGTGCGAAAAAGGGAGCCAGACCTGAAGCTTGTCCAGCCCATCCCCCTTTTCACGTAGGTCTCAACTGGGTGTGAACTTACTCTGACAACTGTAGAGCGAACTTAAAGCAATATTTCTTTAATGATTCCTGTGAACAATTGGCTTCTGGTCCCATGTGGAAAAGGGCTGCCTTGCTCCCAAACGTTCTCCTTATTCTGCATGTGGCTTAAAGGCAAGGAGACGGGAGCATTGCCTGCCCTGGCCCCTGGGTGAAAGCTGAGCTTGTGTTTGGTTGTCTGTCATGTGCTGTCCTGCAGGTGGAAGTGTCTCGGGGAGAGCTTACTGGCCATGTATCAACACCTGACCACTTGCGAGCCACCTCGGCCCAGCCTGGGCAAGAGAATTGACCTCTTGGAGTACCAAGATCTAGACCAGCACTCTGACGTCCCGGCAACCTCCGCTCCCGTCAGTGTCATACAGCCCAACCCCGTCAGCACCAATCCCCAGATGCCTGTGACGGAGCCACTCCTAACATACACACCAGTGACGCCCACCTTTCCCAGTCCAAGTGTTCTGGAATCAGTCAGTCCTGCAGGTGAGGGATGCATTCCATGAATATGTTCTCTGGGTGGATGTTGAAGGGTTTCTGAATCATTGTGCTCTGTTCTTCATGGACCAATTAATAAAGTGGAAGTAGAGCTGGTCTTCTGCGGGGAGAAGTGGTAGGATGCTTATGAGAGGTTGGCTTGTGCCATCTATGGTGCAAAGAGAGTCTGGAAGGCAGAAGTGACAACTCCTAGCCAGCTCCCAGGTGGACGAGCCAAGCTTCTCTTCCAGGGTCTTTTGGAGGACATTTGTCTGGAGAATGGGGAGGAGAGATTCTGTGTGGCCATGATGTTGCTGCTGCTATGGAGTGGCTGTTGGTGCAGCAGCCACCTTTTTGGGGAGTGGGGCAAGGTGTCTTCTGGGCTGCCACTGCTCCTCTGGCTCCCCCTACTTGGCTTCTGTGGCAACAAGAATTCTGCCTTCTGCAAATCAGAGTTCAAGGGAAGCCGTCCTGATCAAGTGTGTCCTTGCTGGGACCAGGAGTTTGATACTTGGACGTTCTCTGGCTCTTCTTAGGGGATGCCTCCGTGGGGGACAGATCAAAGAAAGGGGTGAAGCGGAAGCGAATCCCCGAAGACAGCGGCGAGACAGCCAAGAGGCGGTCGGCTCGGGTGCGGAACACCAAGTGCAAAAAGGAAGAGAAGGTGGACTTCCAGGAGCTGCTGGTGAAATTCCTTCCTTCACGGTGAGGAAGGAAGATTGATGGTTGTGCTTCTGAAAAAATAGCAGAGAAGCTGCTGAGCTCTGCACCCCACCCACCCAGGGGTGAAACTAGGCTTTGTTTCACCCAGGTGAAAGACTCAGTTTGGTACACACACGCCACACACATTTACATACATGCACACAGACTGGAAGCCTCAATGGCGCCCCTCTGGAGGCTTCACCTAGGGCAAAAAACCCTCCAGCGCAGCTTTGGTGCAGGCCCACCATCTCAGTGGGCTTCCTGCATGGGCTGCTGGAGCAGTACAGTGGTACCTCGGGTTCAGGTTACAGACGCTTCAGGTTACAGACTCCGCTAATCCAGAAATAGTACCTTGGGTTAAGAACTTTGCTTCAGGATGAGAACAGAAATCGCGCAGCAGCGGCGTGGTGGCAGCGGGAGGCCCTATTAGCTAAAGTGGTGCTTCAGGTTAAGAGCAGTTTCAGGTTAAGAATGGACCTCCAGAACGAATTAAGTTCTTAACCCGAGGTACCACTGTACTGTGCTGATTTGGGGTTGGCTGCCTGCCTTCTCCTGGGCACAACTTCTCGTGATCCCTGCAATATTGTCAGCAGTTACAAAGAACTGGTGTTTCCCTCCACTTTGACTGGTGTGTTGCGAAAATAAATCTAGCTTCTGGGAATTGCATGTTGCTTGCAAAATTGCTATAACAGGAGTGTGTTTTGATGTCTGCCTTGTGAGGGGCTGCCAAGGTCCAGAGCATTGATGCTTTGCTTTACTCTTTGTTTTGCTTTTCCTGTTAGCCTGAGGAAACCTGACCCAGAAGAAGACGAGGGTCCTTTCAGCAGCTACGAGGTCCAGTCTGAGGCCAAGGAGGAAAATTTCCAGCATGTGGGCACCCACAGGATGCCGTGTGACTCAACAACATGCATGGAATATGGTAGGGACTTTCCCTGGCTTCTGTGTTTTAGCTGAGGGACTCCCCCCAAAAAGGATTATATTTGAATTCATTAATTTGATCCAATATTTGGAAGCTGTAGTATAATTTTGTGGTGAAGCCTTTGTCGGATTGGGTGAGCTGCTCTGATGTCACAGAATGTAGGGAGCCTGGGGAGCGGAGAAGTGGTTGCTTCTTTCCATGCACATTGTGGTAACTTTTTTCTTCCAGAGAAGCAGGATGTTCATAACTTCCTCTTGGCTAACTTGAACAACGGGGGCATCCTTGAGTTGATGATGAGGTACCTGAAAGTGATCAGCCTAAAGTTCCTTGTGAAATGGCCTCCGGGCTTGGCTGAGGTTGTGCTGAACATCTACAACAGCTGGAGGAAGCACAGCAGCAGCCTCCCCAATCCGCTGCTAAGGGACTGTCGCAACGAGCACATCAGGGTAAGGAAATACTTCTGGAGGTGACCTCGCTCTGTTGCCACCCAAGCACCACCTCTAAAGGGTACATGTGTGAGAGAGACTTTGTTCCTGTATAGCCGGAGCTGTGTCTGGTAGCCAGAGACATGGGCTACGACCCGCAGAGCATGTCTCTGCTTCTTTGCTGTTGTTTTTATCCTACTCTTCGGCTGAAAAGGCTCTCAGGGTGACTTGCATACTGTCAAAAAAAAAGTCTCTCCTCGCAGACTTGCAATTTTAAGAGACACAACACCACAAGGAAAAAGGAATGGAGAGGGAGGAGGAAGAAGACAAAGCCAGGCATCAGTTCTTAAAGCTACATAGTAGTTCTTACAGTGACTGGCTGGGATGGATATAATTCTGGGAGAGGGGAAGCAGGGCCATGCCCAGCTTCTTCCTAAGCCACAGCCTGATGGAATGGAGAGTTAGAGAAAAATCAGTGTAAATCTGCTGTTCATGAGTGGGAGCTTTTCCCAGTCCTGGTTCCCGAGATGGTGTTTAACTGGAGGAGCAACAATACTGGAGGTGTAGCATCAGGGAGTGTTCTATGACTGAGTAATTGGAGGCAGGAGGATAATGCTCGGCACCCCTTTTCACTGGTTGGGACCTACCCAGAGGTTGATACTTAGGCCATCTGCACACCCTTCCCATGGGAATAGTGTCCTAGGACCTCCACTGGCTCCATGTTTGTATCTTGATTGACAGTTGGGAGTAAATCCCTCCACAAACTTTTCCCATCAGGACAAACTTAGCTGGCAAGATGCTCACTGCCTGCCCTCTGATCCCTTTATTTTTAGGATCAAGCTTTTCTCAGGTGTCGTGTGATAAAGGTTTGAAGAGCGAGCCAGGGGGCCAGTCCCCTCCTGGTGCTGCTTCTCTCTGCAGCAAAATGTCTTTCTGCTGCTGTTTCTGATCTTTCACAAATACTGTAGTCAACACTGCTTATTCTCATAAAGAAGGTTTTTTCCGCTGGAGGTGCAAATTGCAAATGATTCCCCCTCCAATCCCCTGACGCCTTCCTAACCCTCCTCTCCCCACCCCCCACTTTTGTCTCTGCTCTAGGATATGATGCTGATGAGTCTGTCCTGCATGGAGCTGCAGCTTGACCAGTGGCTGCTGACCAAAGGGAAGAGCTCAATGGGTGAGTGAGCACTGGGTGTTGGCAAGTGCTTCTTCCGAGGAAAGGCCCTGCAAACTCCCTCCGGTGAGATACGAGTCCCCACAGGAAACACGTGCCTGAGCTTAGAAGCTGGGCCTGGTAGTCGATCTTGAGGTTTGCACATAGACATTCCCAAGTTGACCTTTTGGCATTGAAGTCAGGTTGGAGGAGACTGGAGAGTCCCCAGCCACTTGGGTCAGATGGACCTGGAGCAGGACAGGGCAGCTTCTGGGGTTCACTGCTTCATAAGCAAACCCAACGCCTTGCAAAAAAGAAGCAAGTTTTTCTCTGTTACGTTTCCTCAATCGGCTTCTCTCAGGTGCAGATCTTGGGGTTCTCCGCTCCCAATGCTGTTGTTTAGACTTTGAGCTGCAAAGAATCTGAGCTCTCATGTTAGAACCTTGTGCTGAAATGTGAAATAAACTGTTTCAGTGTCTCCAAGGAACGGCCCTGCGGGCAGCTCTGTAAACGGGAAGTTTGGCCCTGATTTCCCTGGCAGCCACTTCCTGGGGGATCTGCTCCAGCTCTCCTTTGCCTCTTCCCAGCGAGACCTCTTTGAGGAGGGCTGGCTGGAGTTCGTGGTTCGGGTGTATTGGCTGAAGGCTCGCTTCCTGGCCCTGCAGGTTTGTATTTCGGGGTTTTTTTGGGGAGGGGGACTCCTGGTGCTGCACAGCTTCTGTGGTGTTTGCAGCAGAGTACCTAATTCAGCAGGGACGCGGGTGGTGCTGTGGGTAAAAGCCTCAGCGCCTAGGGCTTGCCGATCGAAAGGTCGGTGGTTCGAATCCCCGCGGCGGGGTGCGCTCCCGTTGCTCGGTCCCAGCGCCTGCCAACCTAGCAGTTTGAAAGCACCCCCGGGTGCAAGTAGATAAATAGGGACCGCTTACTAGCGGGAAGGTAAACGGCGTTTCCGTGTGCGGCTCTGGCTCGCCAGAGCAGCGATGTCACGCTGGCCACGTGACCCGGAAGTATCTCCAGACAGCGCTGGCCCCCGGCCTCTTGAGTGAGATGGGCGCACAACCCTAGAGTCTGTCAAGACTGGCCCGTACGGGCAGGGGTACCTTTACCTTTTACCTAATTCAGCACTGCTGGCTTTAGATCTGGGCAGTCAGACACTGGGCACACAGCTCCTCTTCTGTGAGGCTATAGTGGAAATCTGGGTACAAAGACAGAGTGAGTTTAAAAAAAAAACCTTGAGCAAAAGGCTTTGCAAAAAGCAGCTTGGGGTATGGAGTTCCAGGGAGGGGCTGGCTGGGGGAAGGAGATTAGCTGGCAGGCTGCAGTTGAGCATGCTGCTTGCTTTCCCAGGGGGACATGGAGCAGGCCTTGGAGAACTATGACGTCTGCACAGAGATGCTCCAGAGCTCTGCTGCAGTGCAGGCCAAAGCTGGTGACGAGAACGTGGTGATCCGGTTGCCAAATCTCCATGTGGACTCTGTGGTCTCGTTGGAAGAGGTAACACCAGCTGGACGTGGGAACATTTGGGTCACTGCAAGAGGCTGGCTGCACTTGCCTTCCTCGTGAGGATGAATGCATAGCAGTTATGCCAGGGATGCAAACATGGAAGCAGCCATTACCCCATTACCAAAGTGTGGGTGCGCTTTTTGTGTGTTGAAGGTCCCTCAAGGAAACACCCTCTGCCTGTCAGAGTGGACACTGTTGAGCTAAGTGGGCCACTGGCTCAACTTTGTCTCAGAAAGCTTTGTATAAATGCTTGACTAAACTACCTGTGATTTGTGGTTCTGGTTTGAAAACTGAAATGAAGCAGTCAGTGTCCTTCAGTTGGACTCCTGCCTTACTGTCACCTTGGTCCGTTGCTGCCTTCAGAGCAGCTAATTCTGTTGCTTGTGGAACACGTGAGAGAGGATTGCCGCTTGGAACATGCAGTGTGTGACTCTTGCAGATTGAGAAGAACCTCAAGTCCCTGGAGAGATGCCAGTCCCTGGAGGAGATCCAGCGCTTGTACGAGGCTGGCGACTACAAAGCGGTGGTGCGTCTGCTGCGGCCCACCTTGTGTTTCAGTGGATACGGCCGGACGAAGCACCTGGAATTTGTCATCTCCATTCCAGAGAGGCCAGCTCAGCTGCTCCTGCTGCAGGTGGGGTTGTCTGAGGGCAGCAGGGAAGGCCAAACCGGCATAGCCAGCCTTGATGGTTGCAGCAGAGGCTGCCAGGAAACAGCAGCCAGCAAAACAACCAGCAGGTTCACTAGGCTGACCTCTGGCGTTACGGTGCTAGTTCCTTTCGCTGTGCGGAGGGGAAAGCGCTCTGTGTGTGCTGCTGTTCGAAGCTGTTTTCAAGGAAATGAACACCCAAGTTGTTGGAAACCATGGGGTTAGGGAAGGCGAGGGAGAGTGTCCTTGTGCTCAAGTCCTGCTTGTGGGTAGCTGGTTGGCCATTGTTAAATAGAGATGCTGGATTAGATGGGCCATTGGCCTCATCCACCAGGGCTCTTTGTAGGTTCTTGATGAGTCCTCGGGGTGTTTTCTTGATGGCTTTTACGCAGTGCTGCATGTTTATCCTGGTCACGTCACACAAATGCAGAGAAACGGGTGTACAGTAACCTGTTGTCCGCACCTTTTGGCCTTTCAGACCCAAGTGCTCTTTGCCACGAGCACCGGTGCCCTCTCCATAGAGAGCCTACATGGGCATGCCTCTCGCTGCCCTTCCATGTGCAGATCTAGGAAAGTTTCCCAGCAGCTGTCTTGCAAATGCTCTTGCACGTTTTCCTCCAAGGCGTCTCTTCTTCTTCAATGCTCCTCAGGATTCCCTGCTCAAGCTGCAGGACTACCGGCAGTGCTTTGAGTGCTCTGAGGTTGCCCTGAACGAAGCCTTTCAGCAGATGATCAACATGACAGAGGCATCTGCCAAGGAGGAGTGGGTGGCCACTGTCACACAGCTGCTCGCGGGGATCGACTGCTCCCTTTCCTCGGACAGCAGCAGCCTGGAGGAGCCGCCAGCCTTGCAGAGCCTGGTCCGACTGACCAGCAACCTCGTCCAGGTATCCCGCTCTTTGCCTGAGGACCCACATGGAGAGCAGGAGACCTGCTGGCAGCCTTTCTCTGAGCCATTGGTGACATGAGGATCTGTTCTGCAGTTGCTGGTGGAAACGTCATTTTAATGTATCAAAAGCAGCCAGGGGAGGAGGGTCATTCCCCAGGGGCTCTGAGTACAGAGCATAGGAATGGGAGCCTGCCAGGTCTTAGGAGGGGGGCCAGCTCTGGAGGTCTGCCAGCTCCCAGTGGCAGCTCATAGCCTTGGTTTGGCCCTTAAACTGGTGTTGCCCAACACTTAATCACACAGCACAATGAAAGCAAACAAAGCTGGCGCAAGTAGTGGAGTAGTGGCCCAGCGGGAGTGGGGAAAGGAAGGTACTGCATAATCCAGAGCAAAAGCTAAACCCCAAACCCCTTTCTTTGGCTGTAAGAGCACTTGGAGTTCCTGCCTGCTCAACAGTGTCCGCTAGAAGAGAAGCAAGAAGAAGAAATACAAAACCAGACTTTTCGTAATGGGTAATGGCAGAGGGGGAAGGAGAGCAAGAATACTAGTTCCCTCTTTGAGTTCTGCTTTGAGGGGCTCGCTCACTTTCTTTCTTTCTTTCTTTCTTTCTTTCTTTCTTTCTTTCTTTCTTTCTTTCTTTCTTTCTCTGTCTCTCCTCAGCCTCTTCCCAAGTCTCCAGCTTCCATCCTTACTTGGGTGGCAGCTGAAGGCTCTAAGCGGCCTTGGCAGTGTGTGTGTTTAAAGAGCCTTCCACCCTCTCACACACTTTGGCTGCCACTCTTGACCACTCCTTTCTGCCCTGGCTGCCGCCATGAATTTCTCTCGGGAGGAGAGGGTTGGCTCAGGGAAGGGTTAGTCTTGCTCAGCGCATGGCTCGGCCAGTATCCATTTGGAAATGTGGTTTAGTGTTGCTACATGGCTAAGCGGTTGTCCTACTGCTCTGTTGTGCAGCCAGATTCAGCCCCTGATGAATTTGGAGGGGGGCATGTGTGTGTGTAAGTGAAGAACATCCCCTGTTGTTTTATGAGCCTGAAACCAGCTCGGTCATTCTGGGGGCCACTTGGGTGATGACTTGAATGCCTGTCATTAGTATGTTGTTCCTGTTGGAAGAGCTGAGTGTTGTCCCCTCTGTGGGTTTAACTTGCCCCACGTCTGTTCCTTGAAACCCCTCCACCCCAGATCATCGACTGCAGCATGGCTGTCCAGGAGGAGCCCAAAGAGCCTTCTGTGTCTTCAGTGCTTCCCTGGATTATTCTTCACAGGATCATTCAGCATGAAGAAGACACCTTCCGCTCCCTCTGCTGCCAACAGGAGGAGCAGCAGCAGCTGCAGAGCCAAAATGAGGAAGGTGGGGAACAGCTGTGCTCTCTGTGGTGGGTGGGAAGCGGCTGTGTTCTGCCATGAGAGGTTGAGTTGGGCATTCAGGAACTCTGTGCCTGCCAAAACAGGGCAAAAGGACAGAGCACCAGAATGCATGCAGATCAATGGCAACGTCCCTTGTAGCCTTCCTTTTTTTTAATAATAATACTTTATTAAGTTTAACAATAGAAAAAACAGTAGAAGAAAAAAAGTCACCAAACAAAGAACAATAAAAACACAGGAAAAATATAAAACACAACAGTACAGAGTTTCACAATGCATAAAATAAAAACATTTAACCTAATAAGTAAAAAAGAAAAACCAATCAACACAGAAAAATGAAAAAGAAAAAACACAGATCACTCTTTTCTAGTTGTTCATCTTTGATTAACTTATTTTCCTGACTTCCTCACGCCTCCCTTTTTTGTATCCCTTTTTGACAGTTAGTTCAGCAAATTCATATCCTACCACTTTGTCCTTAGATATTTTACCTCCCAATTTTATAGTTTCAATTTTTTTTCTCTTGTTACTAGAACCCCTTCATTTCATTTCAATGTCATCAGCATTCATACATTTTAGAATACTTCTGTAAATAAATTTTAAATTTCCTCCAATCTTCTTCCACCAACTCTTCTCCCTGGTCTCCCTTGTCTTGTCACTGGATTCTTGCACATGGAAGACAAACATGTTGTTAGAAGTGGCTCTCTGTAGCAAAACATTGCCCGTGTGCAAGAGCCCTCCAGGTTCTCCCTTCTCAGGCTGGAGGTTGCCTGGGACAAGTGAAAGGGCTGCTGGAACTGCCTAGCCAGTGATTACTTTGGGGTGTGTTTTTGGGGCCTTCAAAATATTTTCCAGGGCAGAAGGCCCTTACCCCTTCTTTTTTAATAAACAGGTGGAATTACTCCAGCCTCCATTGTTATGCTTCAGAGAGCCCATGGAATGATGTTCACATGTCCACACTAGCATCGTTCCAGAGGCACTCCAGGCTTGGGGGGCGGAGAGGAAGTGTGACGGCAGCCAGAACTCCTGTTGCCATTTCCAAAACCACCAGCTCCTAAGCTGTTTAGTAAATGGTAGTGGTGGTGTGGAAGTAGAAACTGTTACTGCTGCCATAACAGGTGCTTCCACCACCATCCCCAAATCTCCCCTCCCACTTGGAGAGACCAAAATATTCCTCTCCCCACCCTAACAAAATTGAGTTTTTGGGGTGGAGGTTCCTGCAGAGAAAAATGTTTATTGTGAGACTTCCTTGTTCTGAGCAGACATCAAGCAATTTTGGTGAACATAATAAAACAACTGGGTCTTTCCCTGTATAAGGGAATTTTGGGCTAGGAACCAATTTGGGGGCTAGTCCAGGGGCCATCAGGTATGGCTGGGCCAGCTGCTTCTTGCCCATTTGACTCATGCACCTCCCATACCAGATCTGTAGCTTTTTGTTTGTCCAGCAATTACTTGACATTCATTTTGTCATCAGCAGCTCAGAATCTGGACACTCCTATGCTGCCCTCTTCCCTGATGCTTCTGAACACGGCTCACGAATACCTTGGGAGGAGATCGTGGTGTTGTAACTCAGACGGAGCCCTCCTTAAGTTCTATGTGAGTAGCCCTGCTTGAAATAGCCCAGATTAACCCTCTTCCTATCCCCACTCGTTGAGAGATCTGTGGAACTCAGACTCATGCGGAGAGAGGAATGTTCCTTCATGTTCTCACCCACCGAGCAGCACGCTTCCTCCAAGGCTTCTTCAGCCATCCCCTGCCCAGGCGGTAGCCTTGACCTCAGTGAATTTTGTCGTTCCAGGTACGGGTGCTGCAAAAAGAGCTTTTGGCCTCTACCTCCGAGGACACCCATCCCTATAAGGAGGAGCTGGAGACGGCTCTGGAGCAATGCTTTTATTGCCTGTATAGCTTCCCGAGCAAAAAGAGCAAGGCTCGCTACCTGGAAGAACATTCCACACAGCAGGTGAGACTGTCTCAGGTCTCCTTTGGAGAGAAAAGGCAGGATGCTCAATGATATGCAGGTCTCTCTGCTTCCAGAGATTGGAATTCCACGAGCTGGAGATGGAAAGCAGCAGCCCTTGGCTACTCCCCAAGGACATCTTTGTTACCTGCATGGGGGAATGCTGGACTCAGAGTAGACCTTATCTTCCTTCTCCTCCCAGGTGTGGGGAAGGGCCATTGCAGCTCTGTGGCAGAGCATCTGCATTGCACACAGAAGGTCCCGGGTTCAGTCCAGCAGCATCTCTAGACAGGGCTTGGAGAGAACCCTGCCTGGAAATCCTGGAGGAGCTGCTGCCAGTCAGTGTAGGCATTCCTGGCTTTGATGAACTAGTGGCCTGACTCATAGAGTCAAAGAATTGTGGAGCTGGAAGGAACTCCAAGGGTCATCTAGTCCAGGAATCCTTTTGCCCAACTTGGGGCTTGAACCCTTGACCCTGAGATTAAGAGCCTCATGCTCTACCAACATGTCCTTTGCCAGTCAGCTGCATAAGGCAGCTTTCTGTGTTGCTAAGCAGCGCTGGACTGAGATGTACACTCGAAATCTGACTTAGTTCCTCTTGTTCCTGGCAAGGCCTAATGCATCTCTTGCCTTCTCTCCAAGGTGGATCTGATGTGGGAAGACGCCTTGTTCATGTTTGAATATTTCAAGCCCAAGACCCTTCCTGAATTTGACAGCTACAAAACCAGTACAGTGTCTGCTGACCTGGCCAACCTTCTGAAGAAGATGGCCACCATTGTCCCTCGGACAGACAAGCCTATGCTGAGGATAGAGGAGGTGTCTAGCTACATTGAAGGGACTCTGAGCAAGGTACAAGCCTCTTGCATCATTTAGGGAGTGATTAAGGGGGAGGGGTGCTGCTGGGGCTCCTGCCTTCTCTCAGGGGTGGGGGGTGCATTTGTCAACAATGAGCCTGGTTTGCTGGTGCATTCAGATACAGGCTATTTGTAACGGAGAAGTGACTTCACTGCCTTGTGGGTATCCAGCAATTGAATTCCATCTTTTTGTGATGTCTGCTCTTTTGTTTAAGTTCTCTCGAAGTCTTATTCTCACATATTGCTTCCTTTAGAACCTGTTTTGGCTCTCTAGAAGCTGTTGCACTACAACTGAGATTCCTGCATTGCAGGAGGTTGGACTTGATGACCCTTGGCTCTACAATTCTATGTTTCTATGAACTCCCGTCATCCCTGAGCCATGCTGGCTGCTAAAGCTGATGGGAGCTGGAGTCCAATTACATGTGGAAAGTCACAAATTCCCCACACCTGTATTAGAATAACGTGAGGCCTGAGGACGGCATTCCCTGCTAAGCCAGTTGCAGTTTTCTCAACAGCTTTTTTCCTTCCACTGAGCCCCAAGGCTGTGAGGAGTCTCCTCCCACAGGTGGTGGCAGCTGCTGCCCATGACAAGCCCAGGCATCCTTATTCTCCCCTTCCTTGCCAGGTGCCAGCTCTCCCTGAGGGTGCCGACTACTCTCCTCCGGTGGTGACAGAGCTGTACTACCTCCTCGCAGATTACCACTTCAAGAACAAGGAGCAGTCTAAGGCCATCAAGTTCTACATGCATGACATCTGCATCTGCCCTAACAGGTCAGCTTAGTGAACCCCCGACACCAGATGAGATGCCTGGTCATTCCATCATTGGTCCCTGGATGGTGTGTGTGTCATGTAAGGGCCCCTTGCATTTTCCCTGTGCCCTGAGCATTGGCACATTGTGGTTGTGTTGGCATCTGCTGCCTTGAAGAGGCACGCACAACCAGTCCCCCCAGTGTGTGTTGTTGTGCCAGAACACATGAACCCTTTTTAATTGCACGAACCTAAATTTACTGGTATGTGATTGAATCCCTGCCACAGGATAATGACTGTCATGGAAGTGCTAACGTGTGCGTGTCCAGATAAGCTTTCTAAAATCTGGGCACCTGAGCTGAAAAGCTCCCAGCAGTAGCCATGGAGGGAACGCAAGAGCCGGTGGAGGGAGGTGGTCTTTTTAAATACCCTGATCGCAAACTGTTCAGGGCTGCAAAGGTGACTGACGATGGGGTATAATAAACACCTTTAGAAGAAACACAAAAAGGCTGTTGTGATATAACAAAGTGAGACGGTGGAGAGATCGGGACTGAACTTCTCAAGGTGCGGGGGGTTGTTGTGTGCTGTTCTTCTCCCAGGTTTGACTCTTGGGCTGGCATGGCGCTGGCTCGAGCCAGCCGCATCCAAGACAAGCTGAACTCCAACGAGCTGAAGAGCGACGGCCTCATCTGGAAGCACGCCACCCCTGTTCTGAGCTCCTTCAAGCGAGCCCTGGAGATTGACGGCTCCAACCTCTCCCTGTGGATAGAGTACGGCACCATGTCCTATGCCTTACACTCCTTCGCCTCCAGGCAGCTGAAGCAGTGGAAGTCGGAGCTGCCAGCTGAGGTCATGCAGCAGGTGAGGGCTTGAGCTGGAGCTTGCAGGCCCCGGCCGGGGTCAGGAAGCGGGGGCTCGCCAGACCCAAAAAGGCAACCACCCCCAGCAGCTCTTGCTGCTGCAGCAAGGCTTGAAACTCCCTCCCCATGTTTCAGATGGCAGAGCGGCGCGATGGCATGCTGGAGACGGCCAAGCACTGCTTCATTTCAGCGTCTCACTGTGAGGGCGACGGAGACGAGGAGGAGTGGCTGATCCACTACATGCTGGGGAAGATTGCCGAGAAGCAGAAGCAGCCGCCTGTGGTCTACCTCCGTCACTACAAGCAGGCGGGTCATTTCCTGCACGAGGAAGCGGCCAGGTACCCCAAGAAGATCCACTATCATAACCCGCCGGAGCTTGCAATGGAGGCCTTGGAGGTAAAAGCAATGAAGCCAGCCAGCCAGACGTGGCCTTGAAGCAGAACAAGCTTCAAGGCCCTCGGAGCTCTTGAGGGAAAGGTCCACTGGCACGTTCAGGGCAGGAGTTCTCTATAGCAGCCACTACCTCCCTTTGCATCTGATCCCCCTCTAGGAAGGGCGGGTAAGGAGCTCAGAGAGGGAGAGCTAGTGTGGGAGTCGACATCAAAGCATCTGCAGCCTTTGCCCTCCTGACTTTGCCAGGGCTGGAAAGGCAACTTGCTTGGGGTAGGGGTTTTGGGGGGTGGGGGCGGGGGCGGGGTTGGATGGAAGGAATCCAAAGGATCTGTAGCCTTTCCGGCCCCCTGACATGCCCCTAAACCAGGGAGGAAATTGCTCCAGCTCAAGCGCTGATGTGGTTTCATATGGCTGATTTCTATTGAGAGCTGGGCAGTGACCCCCACCCACCACCAGCCAAGTCTTAGAACTGCAGCTTTAAAGTGTTTTTCAGAAATACAGTCCAAAGGTCAAGCCATTGCTCTTTCTTCCCTCCTTTATCGCTCCATCACTTGTGGCAGCTTCCAAGAACTGCCCCTTTTCCGGCAGGTGGTGAGAGCCTTTCTTCTCAGTTGTCATCTTTTCCAGGCAAGCAGCTTCTTTCTCACAATCCTGCAGAAAGCAACCCTCTTTCTCTTACACTGCCAATAGCAAGCGGGCGTCTTTACATTTAATTATTTGCTATGGATAATAAAGTGGTAAACGGCCAGCTAGGTTTTTTGGGATACATTTATAATATGTCAGGAAGTTGTTGTTGCCCTGCCTTTGTTTCTTCCCCTTAGGTCTATTTTCGGCTTCACGCCTCCATTCTGAAGCTTGTGGGGAAGCCCAACTCTGGGGTGGATGCCGAGATGCTGGTCACGTTTATGAAGGAAGCTGCCGAAGGGCCTTTCGCCAGGGGGGATGAAAAGAACACCCCCAAAATAACTGAAAAGTGAGTGCTGACTTTCTCAGGGTCAATGGGAGAGCTTCGGTTAAATGGGAGGCCAGTGCCAAAATGGCTTAAAGTGAACACATGTATCACAAGCAGGTGGGGCAGTCACAGCTGCTGCCTGCCATGTCTGGTTGGGCCAGGGAAGCTCTCCAGGCACAGCCAAAGTGCAACTGCCAGACACTGACAGCAGACCTCCTTAGAGGGATTTGAGTGGTAGCCCTCACCCCCTGTAATAGGTGCTACCGTGTGTCAGTACAGCCTCCCTCCCTTCTTTCTCCTCCAGAGAAAAGCTCTGCCTGGTGGATGACGACTCCCACTCCTCTGCCGGGACTGTGCCGGGCCCAGGGACTTCCCTCCCCTCCTCATCCGGTCCAGGTCTGACTTCCCCACCCTACACAGCTACTCCAGTTGACCACGATTACGTCAAATGTAAAAAAAACCGTCAGCAGGCAACACCGGATGGTACAGTCCCTGTTCTCAATACTGCCGGCACAGAGAGGTGCTGTAATCATGGTGGGTGGGGGGGCTCATTTCGGCAGATTTGCTTGCTTCAAGGAGGGCGATGGGGCTGCGGTAACACGGGCAATATTGCAACTCATTATTAACCTCATAAAGGTCGCCACCTCCCATCCAACCTAAATGGGCAAGACAGTTGGATGATCTGTATTCAAGGGTATTTCGAGGCTCGGTTGAATGCTGTGGGATTCGTAGGCAAATTGTCCTGGGTGCAGTTCTGAAATCCAGACCTCTGCCATTTGGGCAATGGGAGGCAGGTGGCAACCACGCGAGTGTCATGTTCGCAGTATGAAGTGGAGAGGCTTCAGCTGGCAACTTTTCCTCCTCCTCTTATTATTACATCTTCTCCCTTCCTTTCCCCCTCCTCCGAAGTTTCTAAACTGGCTGGCTCATCTCCATTGCTGATGCACATTATAACCCAGTAGTCTTAGTGGCAAAATGCTGTCAATCTCAGACTGGGGTAGAGAACATTTGTGATGAGTGTGTCACAGTAATACTAGCACAGACACCCCTTTAGTATTGCTTTTGTGCTAATTTTTGTTTCTTTTTAGCAGTATATCTGCATTCCGAAACAAATTTGGGCTGGAGGGTTAAGGCCTGTAGATTATTCAGTGCCTTAATTGGTATGGTTTGGTTGAATTCTGTCTCTGTTTCCATGAGCACAAATCCCCCATGGATAGCACTAGGGAGACCTGCTTTGTTGTATTCAGAAGATTTTAGGCCCTGGCAGCAGGACTGGGTAGTGGCAGGTGATGGGAACAGCAGCCCCGCTGCCCTGCTTCTGGTTGGAGGGGAGAATGTCAGGATACAAGAACAAATCACTTGACCTGGCTTCATAAGGCAGATTCACGGGTTCTGTAGGTTGTGCATGTTGAAAGTCAAATGTATTTCTGAACGATTTGGGAGCATGAGTTGCCTGCCTTTGACAAAACCCAAAGGACAGTTGGAAGAGCCGCCTCCTCCTCACCTCCTTCTCCCTTATCTGGCCCTTGTCCCTGGGGTTGCTGCTTCTGTCCAGGTATCTAGTTACTGCTGCCACTGCAGTGGAAGGTGCCTAGTGTGAATGCCTTTTGGCCAAAGCCAGGGAACAATAGGATTTTTCCCAAAAGAACAGCCAGGCCTTGCACAGCTGGTCGCATCTTACAACGTCGTTGGCACAGAGGAGCTGAAAGTGATTTGGCTCAGGCCCGGCAGCCCACGTCCCAGGCAGAGAAGCAGCAGCTTAATATAGAATTTCCTGCTCTGCCTCGCCTGGGAAGTGGGTTCATCATATTGGCATTATTCCCTTTTGGGCTTCGGGAGGGGTATGCTGACATCTCAACAAAAGTTGGATGTTTGCATTTCTGTCCAAAAAAACCCCAAAAGCATGTCTTATTTTGAAATGGTGCTTTGGAAATGCTTTGCTTCTGGGCTCACAGCCATCCCACAAATCTGCTTGGGAAGGAAAGCAAGCACTGAATTTGAAGCTGTCTCTTTAGGTGTGCTGGGCTGGTTTGGTTTTGGGTATCTCTCATGTTGGTTAAATCAAAATAAAATAAGCAGACTCCACTGGATGTGCCACAAAGGCCACACGTGGCTCTTCCCAGGTGTAATGGCAGTTTATAATGTGGGTATCCAGAGCCAGGTCTTCTGCTCCAGCCATGCTTTGTTCTCTGGAGAGCTTCTCAAGGTAATCCAGGAGCCAGAAGGAATTGGGAGAAAGACCCAAGAGTGGAAATGGTGTGTGTGTGTGTATGAGAGAGAGCGAGAGAGAGAGAGAGAGAGAGAGAGAGAGAGAGAGAGAGACTAAAGCAGTCCAGTAGACCAGACTTTGAGACTAAGCAAATCCCTGAAAAAAGGACGCAGTTAACTATAAACCCCTTACACCCTACATATATCTGTGTACATAAATCTATAAATAGCAGTCAAAAGTATTCAGTATACAGTCGTACCCCGGTTCCTGAACACCTTGGGAGTCGGAACGCAATCAAAAACCAGAAGTGAGTGTTCCGGGTTTTGAACATTTTTTGGGGAAGCCGAATGTCCGGTGTGGCTTCCACTGTTGTTTCTGGCGTGCCTGCGCAATCGGAAACCAATTGGAAGCTGCGCCTTGGTTTCCGAATGTTTCGGAAGCTGAACAGACTTCTGGAATGGATTCTGTTCAACTTCCGAGGTACAACTGTATATCAGAAACTGTATATCCCAAGCACAGAGAAAGGAAAAAGTGTTCCCAAACAATGACTAAGGGCAGGTATCATCACTAACTTTCCCCCCCAAAAAACCAATCCGTAAAATCCATTACTCAGTAAACTGATCTTCCTATATTGGCTTCTCCCATGCATGGATAAGCATATGTTCGCGTTATCATTATAGCAACATTCAATATCCTATGAAGCCAAGTCTGAATCGGTAGTGCTGTAAACATTTCTCCAGAAGTGAGCTATTGATGTTTCTGCTGCCACTAGCAAATTAGGAATCCCTTCAGCATTCACCCTTTTAAATAGATCCTTCCAGGTAATTTTGTAAGACTTGAAGAGCTTTAGAGTCAATGGTGTTGGACTGGTTAGAGTGTCAGGCTAGAACCTGGGAGACCAGAGATCCCCACTCAGCCATGTGAAGCTCAGTCCCTCAACCTAACAGGGTTGTTGAGAGGATAAAATGGGAAAGGAGAACAACCATGTACTCCATCTTGACTTTCTTGGAGGGCAGGTGAGATATAATAGTAATTAGTAATAATTTCTTCTAGCTGCTTAACATAGTATAATATCAATTGCCAATTAATTATTTGGGGGGGCAGTTTAAAAATATGAATATAATCAGCACATGTTTATCCACAATGCCAACAGTTATTCCGAGTCAGCTTATAAAACAATATTTATGTGGGAACCACATACGACATTACCGATGCAATGTTTTTTTTTAATTCTGCTTTCAAATCCATAGCAAATTCATAAGATTCTCATTCTCCTGCAACCAAAGCCATGCTTTATATGTTAGCAATACCGCTAACATAAATTGTAATACCACTTCTTTTGAAATGGCTGCAATTCTCGATAGCAGGATACAGAAAAGGCTTAATGAGTGTAACTAAGTGGCCCTTTTACCCACTACCTACTTCCAATTTGGTAGCCTGGATTTCCAAACACGTTTAAAGAGTGTCTGATTCGAAAATATTGATCCCTTCTAGAAATACATGGATACATTTTGTTTCTTCCAAAAAGTTATAATAAGAAACTGACTTGTTGCATATAGGCCATTTATGTTCCAGTCAAATATATCCCCCAATATTTCTTCTTAATTAATTAATTTGTAGTAACAACAGGAAATAGGAGGAGAAAGACCTTGGATTGTGTTTGGCCTCATTCTTCCTTTGCCCATATGCTACGTTCAGCTTTGAGACACAGTTTTTGACTTGCTCTTTCGATATCTTCTCTATTATACCAGACAAATAGACAGAAAACTCCCACCCTGCTCATATTCCTTTGTGTTGGTTATGCTGCATGCATCATAAAACTCTGAAGATTTGGGGACACCTGCTGCGCCCAGAGATTTCACAACATGGTCATAACTATTCTAGGTTTCTTACCCCAGCCCCCAAAATAAATTCAGTTTCTCTGTCTTGCCAAACACCTGTCTTCTTTCTTAAGAACATGGGAGTCCTGCTGGATCAAGCACCGGTCTAGTCCAACCTTCTGTTCTCACAGTGGCCGATCAGATGCCCCAAGTGAAGCCCATCAGCAAACAAAATTATAATAATTTATTATTTGTACTCCGCCCATCTGGCTGGGTTTCCCCAGCCACTCTGGGCAGCTTCCAACAGAGATTAAAAATACATTAAAGCATCAAACATTAAAAACTTCCCTAAACAGGGCTGCCTTCAGATGTCTTCTAAAAGTCAGATAGTTGTTTATCTCCTTGACATCTAATGGGAGGGCGTTCCACAGGGCGGGAGCCACTACCAAGACGGCCCTCTGCATGGTTTCCTGTAGCTTGGCTTCTCACAGTGAGGGAACCGCTAGAAGGCCCTCGGCGCTGGACCTCAGTGTCCAGGCAGAATGATGGGGGTGGAGACGCTCCTTCAGGTATACTGGGCCAAGGCCATTTAGGGCTTTAAAGGTCAACACCAACACTTTGAATTGTGCTTGGAAACGTACTGCCTCATAAGTCACAAGAGAGCTTGAAACGTACTGCCTCTTAAGTCAGAAGAGAGCTTGATAACTAAAGCATACCGGCATCCTGTTTAATTTATAATTGTTGCTGGTCCTTTCAGTCTTTTTACTGCCATTCTGAAATGTTTTTATGCTGCTTTTTTAAGTGAATGGTGTATTATCTTTTCATTTGTTTTGTGATTTTTGTTAACTGAATCAACCCACAAAAAAACTCTGGAGTGCAGTTTAATGGTCCCACCCATGGCCAATTGCAAGCACACCTGCTGAATCATTGTCTGGATTTGATAACGGGCTGGATGAGGGCCAGTAAACAGAGTGCTGGATCCTGACAAGACAGAGGCAGTGTGTGTAGAGGTGATTGTCAGGCCTGGGAAATGGGTGCAAAATCTGTTCTGGATGGAGGTGCCTTGCTTTTGAAAGAGGAGGTCCACAGCTTGCAAGTGGAAGCTCATTGATCCCTCATTGTCTCTTGGGGGCACAGAGTACCTTTTACAAGCTGGCTTGCTAATGGGTGCCTTTCTTGGGCAGAGATAGGTTGGCTGCAGTAATCTTTGTAGAGTTGACATGCTGTATTATACATGGCATGGAGCCTCAACTCTGGCATCCCCTCCCTAGAGAGGCTCGGCTGTTGTCGATTTTTCAGTCTTTCCGGCATAGAGCTCACTTCTTCTGAATAAAACGTAAACAGCAATTACGGCTCATTTTACTTGCTCCCTGTGAGCATGTCCACAAGAGTTGGCTTCCAGCGGCATTGGGGCTGCCATATAAGCCCAGCCTCTGTGTGGTTTAGGGACTCATAAACTGAATCCTTTTGACAGAAAGAGCTTGATTTTGCCATATCCTGGGATTCTCAGTGACTGAGGTAGAGTAAGGTGCAGCTGGTTGAATGAGGAACGTTAGTAACGGTTAAGTAGCCAAGAACTCCAAAGTCCAGTCCAGAAGTTGCAAATAGAAATGGGAAGTTATTAAAATGAAAACCAGTTGTCCCAGGCAAGAGACTTGACAGACTTCCTTTCCAAGATTCGTCTAGTTTTGGTGTCACATTTGTCTTAAGCGTGTTTGCTGTGTAGCAGAGTGTTCTAACTTGTCCTTCAGTAAATGCATGGGGAGGCCCGTGTCATTCATCCATTCAGTAGAGCAGAAAGCATCCATTCTTGTCATTTGGTGCTCTTTGTACAACTCAATGTTGCTTTTCTTGTTGTCGTCGTCGTTTTTTCCGTGCCGTCTTTTGTGTGTTTGTTGTGCCTTTGTAACCAATATTGCCCGTGCTGCCTTAACCCTTTTTAAAAACTCTGTTCATAGATATTCTCTCCCTGCTTTTTTATCCATCACGGCTTGCTTGAACAATAGGCCAGAACTGCAGCTTAACCGCTTTGGGGGATGAGGAATCTGTTCACTGTGGTAATGTAGAGATCCAGTTTCTGGAAAAGCTTCCTCGAGATGAGTTGCAACCCTTGGATTCTCCCCCCGCCTTAACACATGCTCTGCCTCCATCCCGTTCTGTTCTTTGCGCCAGGGATGGGCAGCCTGTGTCCCCTCCTGGATGAGGGTGATTACAACTCCCATCATCCCCTACTCTCTGACCATGCCAAACCCTGCTTTTTGCAAATGTTGTGTCTTTCATTAACACTCATAGCCTAGTCCTTGTACTTCTGGAAAAGGGCTCTTAGAAGATGTACAAAGGCTCATTAGTGGCTGGGCAGGGGGGCGGGTTTTAACTAGCCAAACATAAATTTGGTGTGCACGGATTCTGAAAATGCTGGTTCCCATGGCTGGCTCCTTGACTTTCAAAAAGCACAAATAAAAGCCACTATGATCCTTTGTTTTAATTTCCGTATATGCCTTACGCACACTGTCTAATTTGCTTTTGTTTGTTAGTTTGTTTGCAGATTTCCAAAAATTGATTGCAGAATTTATAATCTAAGTATAACCAGAAAAGGGGGGGGCAGGATAATGCTAAACAATACTAAAATACATAATTAGAATACAGTTAAAAAATTGCAGATACCGCTAATAATGCTTGAAATGTGCACTCATCCCCATGACATTCCCGTGACGTTCCTCATGTCATATGACCGTGTGAGAGGTATTCTGAGGTGGGTGGTCTTCATGTAGGTCGTCTCGTTGGCAGTATGTCCACTGCAGCATCCTGATGTACACCATAATCTCAGAGTGATACACTTGCCTTTGAGGTGACTTTGTAACCTGCAGCTGGAATGGGATTCAGACATGAGAACACACGTCAGGCCTGATCTGCAGTGCTTCCAGCCCACATTTCTTGGTGTTGGGAGTCCCCATCTGGACATTTCCCCAGATATAGTGGCTGGTGACAATGAAGAGCTTCGTCTGCCTGTGGCAACACTTCTGCTTTTCTTGTTTTTAAAACAAGCAATGTCATTCTGGATCAACTGAGCCAGTTTCTTCTGTGTTGCATATTCTGCCCACAGACGTCCTGGCTTGCGCGGTATGATCTGAGAGCTCTCCTCCCAAATCGTCAGGTAGACTCTCCAAAGACTTTCCGACATGGCGGTCTGGTGTGGTTTGATATGTAGGATGGCAGTGCTGTTGCCAAATTTCTCCGTAGCCTCTTGAATATTTCGTTGACAGATGTGTAGTGCCTTTTCTGCAACATCCTAGACACCACCCAGATGCTTCTACAGCACCCATGGTGAGAATGAAGTGCCAGAAGAAGAAGAAGAAGAATGGGGTTAGACTAGATGAACCCTGGGGTTCCTTCGAACTCTACAATTCCATGAATCCTCATTGGTGTCTTTCACAGACCTGCTGGCTCTGCTGAACAGGCACTGCCTCTTAACATGCAGTACAAAGCTGGTCTCTGCAGGGTGGAGGCAGCTCAGCTCTTAGGCTGCACATCGGCTTTAGCCTTTTGGTGTTTGGGGCCTGCATTAAAGTTGTCCTTCCCACCCCCCTCCTCCACCCCCCTCTTGGTGCTATTAATCAGTTGCAAGTAAAGCTCTCTTATGTGCCTCTGTGGCTCCTACTCGGCTACTGACACTTTGGTGGAGCACTTGCTCAAAGATGACATAAAGAAAGGGACCAGCTGTTGGACAGAGGGCTGGTTGTTTCCTGCTGACTGGATTTCAGTTCTTGAATCTTAACTTCTAGCAGGTGAAGCCACCTTCCGAGTGACCACCCTTAGTGGTATATCCACAGGAAGATTCACTAGCAGAGGAAGCTTGTAATTGCCTTTGAGAGCTTTTCCTTGTCTCTGTATATTTTTGCCTGACACTCTCTTTGGGAACTGTTCTGGGAACTCCAGATCTTAATTTGCAGCTCTTCGGCTTCTGCAGGATCTTCCATTTTTTTGTGTTGCCACAACTGGTGGCATTTCTTCATCTGTAGTGGTTTTCATTTTTTATCTGCGGAATTTCACCATCTTGATAATACAGCTCTCCTATTTAGGCAGACAATTCTTCCGTTGCCTTGTCTTGCAGTTGCTTCTAATTATGTAACTTCTGCAAGTTTGCTGCACCTGCATTTTTCTTCGTGTCTTTGCACTCGGCCTAATAAAAAAAACTGGTCTTTTCCCTCCCCCTTCCCATCAGGTTTGAAAGGGGCATTTCAGTGCTTGGCAGACTCCTGCAGGTGGGTGGGTTATTAGAAGCTGCATTGGCCACCATCTGCCCACTTCTAAGGCATCTTCTTTTCCAAACTGGCTTCCAGCCACACAAGGATTTTTGCTGCATGTCTCAGGAGGGCACAAAATGCTTGGATTTCACTGTGTGACAGGTTAGGCCAAGAGAGCCCTTCCTCACATATTGAAACTTCTGTACATCATCAGAAGTGGAAAAAGTTTCCAATTGGCTACCCTACAATAGAAGTTTTTGAAATTATTACTTTGCAGAAGAGTAAATAGAGAAACAAACATACACACCCCTCCCACACACTTTTGTGAACACCCCAAGACAACATTAAGGTCCAATTGTATCTGCATTTGTAAAAGGGTTTGGGGCAGAGCTTTCCAAACTTTTCCTGTTGGTGGCACACTTTTTAGACGTGCATCATTTCACGACACAGTAATTCAGTTTTACTAGCAAACCGGAGGTTAATCTTACCCCTTTCCAGCCATGGAAGGAGTGTGGGGAGGTTCGTGCGACACACCTACACACTGCAGCCGACATACTAATGTGTCGCAACACACAGTTTGGAAAGCTCTGGTTTTGGGTGAAATCAGGTTTCTTGATTAGAAATGCCTCCTGCAGCACCTGTTCCTGGTCTCTGTTCATTCATTGGTCAGGTCCAGGTGGGTTGCTGCAGTGTTCCTGTGTCAAGGATCTAGCAGCAGCAGCAGTATTACATAGAAAAGTCCGCTTTGGATCTTTTCCGACTGTAATCTTGCAACTGTCGCAGCATTTGGAAATATTGGCATTCAAAATCTGCCCCTGGCAAATGAGTCCTGGTGGAGCCAGACCAGATTTTGGATTATGCCATCCATTTGCTTCCAGAGAAAAAAGCTGCCCAGCGCTGTGTCTCAAATGGAGCATTGCTCCTGAAGGGGGGATGCTTTATGTGGAAACTGCTGAATTCTCCTAGATGGAATATGCAGAAACAGCAAGGTGAGGCTAAGGGTAGGAAAGGTGAATGGGCCGCCTTGGCTGGAATTGGAGGAAGGGCAGTGAGGATTGCAGGCACAGCCTTGATAAGGCCAAGAGCAAGAGGAGGAGAGGAGGAGGCACCGAGTCCTTGATGTACAAGGTGGGTGGAAGTTTGTGTGGAGAGACAGCCCTGGGAGCCCCCTCATGCTTGCCCTCCTTTCCCTCCTGCAGACCGGAGTCAGGATAGCACGGCAGTGGTGCTCTCTGATTCCAACTCCACCCAAGACATTTTCACTGAGGTTGCCAGCTCTCAAGACAGTGCGAAGAAGCCTTTTCCAGAGAGGAGGCCTTTTGTGTCCCCTTCGGAAGCTGTCACCACTGCTACTAGCAAAGAGGCCCCAGGACCTGCAGAGGAAAGGGGTAGGTCATTCCTGGTGTGTGAAGATCTGTGTGTATGAGAGAGAGAGAGAGAGAGAGAGAGAGAGAGAGAGAGAATGAATTGCTTAGCACAGCTTGAGCGGCTGGAGCAAGTGCACACTTCTTCCTGGAGCAGCAAGTGGTTGTTGCTGCCAGAGGGAAAGGAGTGGTGAATAGTGGACTGAGAGCGGGGGAATCAGCAGCTTCCTCCTAGGAGAGAGGGACAAGGCTGTTCCTGACGGGTCCTGAGCACCTCCTTCCTCTCCTGAGCTACTCTGACAGGAGCAAGAACAAGCCAAGGGAACGTCTTCTCCTGGCCGTGCATTTCACGTCTTTGCGCACATGGGGTTTTCCTTATCTTCAAAGTTGTGGGGGGTTTTTAGCGGTTTGTAACATCCTTCGACGGAGGAAGAAAGATGGTGGCTTCTGTGTGAGCTTGGTCCAAAGCAGATGCTTATGCTGCCCTATCTGTTTTGACAACTCCAGGGAAGCCGGAGGAGCAGCCCTTGGAGAGCTCAGAGTCCTGCCACATGGCTGAGCAGAAGCTGGACCATCAGGCCCCACCGCCTGGGGTCCCCCCCAAAGCCCCTGCCCCCTCGCTTTCCCAGTGGGACACCAAGCGGCGGGCTGTGCCCAGTGGGGAGCAGTTTCCCCAGAGCCTCCCTGTGGACCTGGAGGAGCAGCGCAAGTTCCTGACGGAGCACTGCATCACCTCCTTCCGCCTCTGCCTCAGCCGCTTCCCTCAGCACTACAAGAGTCTCTACAGGCTGGCCTACCTCTATGCCTACAGCACAACCCATAAGGTAAGCGGTGGTGGTGGGAGAGTAAGGTTGATCTCTGCCCCTCGCATGGGACATTGCTCTTCTCATTGTCCAGGCCTAAAGCCCCTGTGGGTGGTGGACAGGTGGCATTCCCTAAGCAGCAGTAGCAGCAATGCCTTGTGGCGGGGAAAGCCTCTGCTCTGGGACTGGGAGGAGCAACACCAGCAACCAGGAGCTCTCAAGATCTTCTGGGACGAAATCAAAATCCCCTCTGCTGTTTGCCACAGCAGCAGCACTCCAATTTGGCCTTACCTGAAAGCAAGAACCAGCTGCCCCTGCATGATCCTGTGAGTTAGAACATGGAATGAGCAGGGTTTGCTCCTTTGGTCCCCACCTTCAACCTCCACAGGGAGAAGCTGACTTTGCAGTGTCCATATAACAGCAATGTTAGCACAGTCCCTGTAGTGACTGCCTGCTGAGCGTGCACTTCTAGTGTAGCTGTGCTGGCCGTTGTATTGGCTGTGATGTGGCTGGTAAGAGGGATACCCACTGCAGCCGTTTGCTGCCTCTGACCTCCTGGCAGTTCTGCACCCAAATAACTAATTCTGTACGACGACGTCCCATTTGTGTGTTCAGAACAGCTAAACCCTGCAACCTGTGAGAAATTGTATGAATTCAGCAAACTTCGCCTTTGTCTCACTTACTGCTTCTGCTTTGGCCGGTGGTGGTAGGGTGAGGAGGAAGGAGTTGTTAGGCACTGAAAGACCCATTCCTAGTTATGAAACATCTCATGCCCCCTCCCCAGCTTCTGAAATTTTGCCAGGCATCAGCCTCTCATACAAGCAGGCCTGTGTCTTGGGAGCCAATAAGCGCTTGGTTTACAAAGAAACAGGCTCAGGGAAGAGGGAAAGCTACCAGGCAGCTGAATCCTGCACTGTGCTCTGTGCTTGGATTCCATGCGCACAGCTCAGCTGATGTTTTATATGCACACAATTCCCCAAAATTGCCTGACTTTCTCTTTGCTTTCAAAGCTTCCAAGCTCACCTTGGGAGTCTTCTTGTACTCTCGGTGTTCATGCACTTTGAAGTGGAGGTTTGTATCTCCCTAAGCATTCAAATTAACAGGAGCAATAATAATGCTCAGTTGATGTGAGCAACCGATCAGGGCTTCCTTCCCCCACCTAGAGCCCTCCAGAGGGCTTCCAGACAGCTCCCATCAGCCCCAGCCAGCACAGGGTACAATGGTGGGGCTGCCAGGAGTGGGTCCAGAACATTGGAGGGCACCAGGATGGGGAGGGCTGTTGAGAAATTGGAGTTATGGGGGGTGCTGGCAATTTGAGAGTATGTATTTCAACTGTACTACAAAAGCCTGGCATTATCGGGGAGCGGGGAGGCAACTTTTGTGGTTCTTCAGCATGGAGGGGCACTGGATGTGTCCCCTGCTTGTTCCCAGGTAGTGGTCTGGGGACTGGGTGCTTGGTCTCTGGTCAAAATGAGGCTGGTCCTTTGCTGGACGAGGAGGCCCCCAACCCTTCTCTCCTGAGGCTGGGGAGGGGCTTCTCTGCATGGCTATATACATGCTCTCCATCACCTCATTGAACCAAATGTGAGACTAAACACCGGTTGTTGCACGGAGCACCCTCCCCTCTGGTGCCATTGAGGGAGCTGCTGCGTTGTCTTGGGATGTTCACAAACATTCTTAAGTGTGAGGAGGGGAGGAAGGCAGGCCTGGGGGCCTAAGGGGCAGGGGGAGGCTGTGGCAGATGTGCTGGTTGAGCAGTGGGAGAGGAAAGGAAGGGAGGAAAGAGGAGGCTTCATCTGCAATAACCAAACATCCCCTCCACCTCTCTCCCTCCAACTCCTGCTTCCCCTGCGCTGTCCTATATAGAATCTTCAGTGGGCTCGCGATGTGTTGCTAGGCAGCAGTCTCCCATGGCAGCAGCTGAAGCACATGCCAGCACAGGGTCTCTTCTGCGAGAGGAACAAGACCAATTTCTTCAATGTAAGTTGCCTGTACCTGAAACTTGTGGCTGTTTGTTTGTGTTTACATCTTTTTGTATACCGCCCAATTAAGAGTGCCCTCTGAGCAGCTAATTCCCCACCCCCTTCTCATTTTACATCTCCCTTTCATCAGGTAAGTCTGTTAGGAGGCAACCTTCAAAGCAGAGAAGAATTTGCAGCAAAGCAAAATGTGTTCCTTACACAGGAGCGATGCTTAACAGAGGCACAACTGCTTTCTTCCCCTGCATGGAGAGATCAAAGGGGAGGGCAAAGGGTCTTGACATCCTTCCCATTCAGTGGCTAGCACACATCTTGAGCTCCCAAGAGTTTCTGGCCAGACTAAGGAAGCTGCTTGAACCCTGTTAGCAAACCTCTGTTGCTCTCCCACATGTGCATGAGGTGGACTTGTGAATGAAGCTGTCTGCAGTAGAGAGGGCTTGTTGACTGGTTAGTAGCTGTCATGGCCTTTGGCTAGCACAAAGAACTTAATGAATGAATGAATGACTGGTTAGTTGGCCCCTGGAAGGGAGAAGAGGCTCTGCCTGAGGAAGGTTGTGGTGGGATCTTACAGGCTCTTCTCTTTAATTAAAATGCTGCTACCCTGCCTTTCTGCCTGATAGCAGTACTCCACAGAAAGAAAATTAAAACACACACATAAGATTAAAGAAAAAATGAGGCCATGGTGACTGGGAAAGTCCTATGCTCCCAGCTGCTGCTCTTAAAGGTTCTGCTTTGGCCACATGGGAAAATCCCCCCCCCCAACTTTCTCCTCTCAGGCAGCTGGTTCTTCTTGAATCTCTGTGTGTGTGTGTGTGTGTGTGTGTGTGCTTGCGCACTGATGTTTGCTATCCACTGTCCAGGCCTTGGATGAGGCAGCTGCTACTCCACCTCTGAAGCTGTTGCTTCTGCTGCTATTTAATAACATATCTCTCACTTCTGTCAATAAGTAAAAGGTAAAGGTACCCCTGACCGTCAGGTCCAGTCACGGGCAACTCTGGGGGTTGCACGCTCATCTCGCTCTATAGGCCCAGGGAGCAGCGTTTGTCCACAGACAGCTTCTGGGTCATGTGGCCAGCATGACTAAGCCGCTTCTGGCGAAGCAGAACAGTGCATGGAAACGCCGTTTACCTTCCCGCCGGAGCGGTACCTATTTATCTACTTGCACTTTGACGTGCTTTCGAACTGCTAGGTTGGCAGGAGCAGGGACCTCACCCCGTTGCAGGGATTTGAACCGCCGACCTTCTGATTGGCAAGCCCTACGCCACCCGTGTCCCCCTGTCAATAAGTACTGAAATATAAAAGCAGAAACAGGAATTGAGGGGAGCTGACAAATGCACCTGAGTTTAAGCAACACCAAACCAAGCAGAACTTGCAAAAAAAAAAAAAAGTGTGTATGTAGAAGAGAGAAAAAGAGATTTTGCAACACTTAAGTTGCTTTCAAGTCTGATGGTGATTCGTAAAATGGTCTTTCTCGCAGGGTTGATATAAAGGGCAATGAGGGGAGAAATGTAACGTTCTCTCCACACCTTAAAGCAGAGCCTGAATGCTGGTGGCTATTCTGGAGCTGCAGTGAAGGACAGAAAGAGAATTGGGGCTGAAAGATCAAGGCAGAAGCTGTTTGGGTGCCGCCTAGAGGCCACATTGTACTGTACAGTGAGCAACACACACACACACACACACAGAGAGAGAGAGAGAGAGAGAGAGAGAGAGAGAGAGAGAGAGAGACTGTAGAAGGTGTTTAATGTTTCTAAGGCATGGAAGTCCATAAAATAAGATTTCCATGCCTTTTGGTGCCTGAGTTAAGTTGTCAACATCTTTTCTTTTAAATGGTTGTTTTTGTGATCCTAGAATTCTAGTTCCTTGCCTTGTCAGATCAACTTCCTCCATACGGTCCATGACTTGCACCCCACTTTTTTCTTCCTCAGAGTGAAGGATGCTAGAAGGGTGCTTAACTTGCTCACCTATGAAAGGTTAACAACAGTTGTGGATTACTTCACTTTACATGGACAACAACCAAGCAGAGCAAGAGAGGGTTGGCCAAAGGGTTCCTCCGTCTGCTGCGTTGTAGATCGTGTATATTATGCCTGGTGCCATAGTCTATAAAACATTTATGAGAGCACCGTGTAAAAAAGGAATAGATCCACACTGTTGCCTGTGACTTCTGCTGCAGGGCTAAATCCTTGGGGTCTGGTCTTTTCCCCAGTGTTGTGCCACGCTGGGGTGCTCTTCACTTTCGCCCCCGGGAGACAAGCTGGAGGAAGAACCCATCCCCCCTTCTTATTCTTCTTCATCATCTTCAAACCTTCCCGTCATCTTTTACCTCTTCATCAACAGGAGAATTTTCTAGGTCTGCCAGGGAGGGATGCGTGAAATGTGTGGCTGCTGTTGCCGCCAGAATCCCTTTTCCTCCTCCGCTGAGCCTTTTCAGCAGCCTTCCGCCCCCAACCCCTTAAAGGGTTGGGGTTGGAATTGCTTCACTGTGTGGGAGAGCCTGGAGGGAAACCAGCCAATTCCCCTCCTTTCTCTGTCGCCATTAGGAGTCAGGATATTGCCTTGCCCCTGGGTCAGTGTCCCTGGGCCAGTTGTCATCTTTCAAACACTCCTTCCTTGCAGCTATTTCTGCCAGAAAAGGGTCAGGGTTTGATACTTCTGCAATCCACACTCACCTCTGCATGTGCCATGAGAAAAGGGGGTGTTACAGCCTGGAGTCAGCTCTGGCTCCTACAGATTGCAGTGCAGTGTTTTTCCATCCCAAGAAGTCTCAAATATGCAGGGCCATTTGAAAGTGCATTCAACATACAGCCGTTTTCCCAGTCCCTGACAGTCCATCGTTTGTCTTCGCTCATTCACCATGGGGGGTAAGAGGAGTTCAAAGTCAGCAAGTCTCTGTCTAGCCAAGCCTTGGTTTCCCAGATGTTGTTGGGCTAAAAGTCTCATCTTCCATAGCCAGCAGAGGGGGATAATGGGAGTGGTAGTCCTACAACATCTGGGAACCCAGGGTTGAGAAAAGCTGGGCTAGCTTATGAGGTGCAGCCTCATAGGGGATCACAGGCCACTCTCTACCAGGGGTGATGATGGTGCCCACCGGCAGGATTCAGATATCAGCCTCCCCTCAAGAAAATCTACAGGGGGGCTACCTGGACTTCACCATTCACTGGGCATCAGACAGGTTCCCCTTTGCCGGTGTGGCGGTGTTGCTGACGGCCCTGTGCTATGTAGGTAGGGGTCTGCCTGCTCTGGGATTCTGGGGCTCCTTATTTACTTCCTCCTGCCGTGGAGTGGAGACACTTCTCTACCAGCAGAGAAAGGAACATGGGGACCTATCAGGATGTTTCTTATGGTTGGTCTGCGGAGGGTATCCGGCTTCACCCCAATTCTCAGCTCCAAAGGAAGGGTGCTCCTGTCTTGGCTCACAGGGATTTTAGTCAAGGGTAGTTTGAGGTCTGGGTGGAGAAGTTTGCGTCTGCTATACTCTCTCTCTCCTCCTTCTCTGATCTTGTTCTGTTGCTACCATTGCTGGGTCAATTATCATTCTTCAGGCTTTTTGTTGCGTCTGTTCCAGTAGCACTAGGGGCTTACTCCTAGCAGACATTTCAAGTTTGTTTAGAACGTAAATTTTATCATCTATGGATAAGAACCATTTAAAGACTAATTGAAGTGGATTTGAAAACAGAATTGTGATGTATGGGGTTTTTTTGCACTTAAACAGAAAGATGCTACGCTGCAGATGTGCAGTCGTGTCTTGTGGCTGCACAGAGGGGCAAATCCTCCCCCCGCTTGTTCGCTTGTTCAGTGGACAATTAAGTTGAGGTCAGATTATGATTTCCTGTCAGAAAGCAGGAACGAGGCAAGGATTCCCCATGAGGTGCGCTTGGGATAGGATCTGCAGATCAGTGCAATTGAGTTATCAAGTTCAGTTATGCAGATATGAGCCCTGACTTGTGTCTAGTGTATGTGTGTGTTGGACCAGCCTTTCCCTCGGGAACAGTAGCTAAGTAACGTGCCCTCTTTTTATAAGAATGAACTACTGTCAGGAATGGGTTTAGGAGCTGCCCATCATTTCCACTTCTGGTTTGTCAGCACAATGTCAGCCGCTGTGGCACTGTTTTCTCCACCCCCCCCCCAAATATTCATGGGATAAAAAGGTGCAGAGAAATTGGTACTTCTCTAAGGAGGTTCAGGTAGTTGGGATTCTGCTTTCATCGTTAGCATCCTCCTAATTGCCAAGCGATTTAGGCTTCCCATCTTAGGTGGATGAAGGCTTCTGCAGTCCACCTTATTTCCTAGAGCAGGTTGCAATAGCCTTGGCTGGAGCAGATGCTGCTTATTCTTCCAGAATCTGGCTTCATGGCACTGCTCTTTTTATCCAACGTATAGAGAAGGCTCCTGAAAGTCTCCCTCTAATAATAGTACAGTGGTACCTCGGGTTAAGTACTTAATTTGTTCCAGAGGTCCGCTCTTAACCTGAAGCACCACTTTAGCTAATGTGGCCTCCTGCTGCTGCCGCGCCGCCGGAACACGATTTCTGTTCTCATCCTGAAGCAAAGTTCTTAACCCAAGGTACTATTTCTGGGTTAGCGGAGTCTGTAACCTAAAGCGTATGTAACCCGAGGTACCACTGTATTGTATAACTGTGTTATACAGAAACGGACAAGGAGAAACTGAAAATTGATGGGAGATTTTAAAAAGAAAAATGGGATCTGGGCTCAAACTGTGAGTCATGTTTTAGAAATCAGCTGCGTTCATGACCCAATCAAGTTTCTGAAGACTGTTGCCACCAAGTTGGCTGCTGCAGATAGCGTCGGTGTTGTGCTGGGTGCCGGTCAGGCAGGAGATTTTGCTGGTTTAAAAAAAAAACAAACCCAAAAAACAAACAGATCACCCGGGTTCTCTTGTTGGGGCCTTGAGCGAAGCCTTTCAGTGGGAGTTGGAGAGAGTTAGCTCTAGAAACAACAGGTGACTCTCCCCAAAAAGCGACCTGGGGTGAAGTTTTTTTCTCCTCCGTGCCTGGTTCCATGCGGAGGTGGGGGTTTTTTTGGCTGAGCGAAGCGTGAAACGGGCCAGAAATTCTTGGAAGCCTTCAAAGGCCGGGCAGAGCTGCCGCTGCTGCTGCTTTAATGCAGGCAACGCTAGAGCCTGAAAGTGCCCCGGAGAGGCGACGCGTGTTTTCCTGCCTGCGCGGCTACTTCGCTCGGGGGCCGCGGCGCTACAGCAGGTCCTTCGCGGTGATGTTGGTGGGGTGCCCTAGAGGAGAGGGAGAGCGAAGTTTGCGCAGCCCGGCCGAGGCAGAAGCTGGCGGCGGCGCCGCTTGGCTTTGCGCTCTGGCTTCCCTCCGGCGCGGGGGTGTCGGGGAGCTCCGCCTCTCCTCTCTCTCGCTGGCTGGCTGCCTTCCTGGCGGGGCTTCTCGGGGGCGGAGAGCCACGTGACGGGCGCCGTCTCGGGGAAGAGCCCCCGATGGCAGCGCCAGCGATGGGCAGCGCGGCGGCTCCCGCTGCCGCCGCGGGGCCTGCCGCTTCGTCTCCGCGCCGCCGCGGGGGAGCCTTCTCCGGGGCGCGGCAGGAGGCGGCCTTGCGGGCGGCCAGCCCCAGCACCACCACCAGGGCGCGCAGCTGCCGGGAGCCGCCCTGCGCCCAGCATGGTGAGAGCAAGCGAGCGAAGGGGAAGCCCCCGCCTCGAGGCAGCCTCGGGGCTCGGCTGCGCAGCGCCCGGCCTTGTTTGGACGGGGGACTGCGGGGGAAGCCCCGGGAGGCGGGCGGGGGCGGCCCCTGGCTGGCCGGATTGCGTGGGAGGAGGAGGAGGAGGAGGCCTGGCGAGCGGAGCGCCGCCTCCGCCTGCAAATCGCGCGGGTTTCCACTTAGCAGCGACGCGGCTCTCTTTCCCCGGCTACCGTCGCCTTGGTTTAGGTTGCGTAGGTGCCGATGGAGCCTTCCCTGCGCCCGCCACCTGCCGGGGAGCCCGATCGCTTGGCCCGCCGCTCCGCGGCTGACGAGGAAGACGAGTCGGCGTCACCTCTCCGACGGGCCGCCGAGCGCAGCTCTGCTGCTCTGACTTCCCAGGGGAAGAAATGCGCGGCTCTTTCCGGCCCTGGAAAGCGGAGCTGGCTGGGGCTTGCAGGGAGGTGTAGGTGAGGAAACGACGGAGCGCTGGCCGGGCGTGGAGCCCCGGAGAGGCTCCTTCTCTGAAACCTCTCTGGCGGTGCCGTGGGTCCGCTGGAAACACGAGTCGTTGTCTCCAAGCTCTCGGGATGCTGTAAATCCCTAGAGCCCGATCGGAGGTGCGCTGCTGGTGGCTGCTCCAGTGTTTGTGGTCTGTGCCCCAGAGAGCTTTCCCAATTGGTCCAGCCGAGGTGGAGGATGGAAAGAACGAGGGAGGGAGGGATACAGGGAGGAGAGCAGGGGGCCAGCAGCTGTCTGTCCTTTGAAAGCACATTTCCCACCCCCTCCGAAAGAATCCCGGGAACTAAGTTTATTCAGAGCACTGTGAATTGTAGCTCTGGGAGAGGTAAGGGTCCCAGGATTCTTTGGGGACACACTCAAATGCGCCTTGAATGTATGGTTAGTATGGAACATTAGTCAAGGAGAAGCTTTGGACTATGTGAGAATGTGGTTGCAAAAGTGCCATGGGGTATCCATGGGGTAGTGTCTTAATGGCACACAGCACACACTCTTCATCTTCCTTTCTTTTTTTTAATCTTCCATCATTTTGTGGACTCTTGTTTGTTTAAAAAACATTTCTTGAAGGCTGGGAATTCAGTTGCCTCTTGGGAACTGAATTACTTGTGTAGCCTTTTACAAAAAACAGGCCTGCAGGACTTCTGTTTGTTTAGCCCTTTGAGTCCTGTGTACATTACCTCCTCAATGGGCATCTTCTCTGGATTTTTTAATCCTCCCTTTACATGGGGAGTTTGCTGTGCCAGGTCTGCAAATAGCTCTATTCAAGCCTAGAAAAGTCCTTATACTTGCCCTTTGCGTGATGTCTTGGATAACAAAGTTAAGATCAAGAATGTCTGCCCTGCAATGGAATGTCATGGTTTGTTTGTTTACATGTTCTCTGTGCCTGATGAAGCCTTTCAGTTTCAGCTTGGAAATCCTGAAAGCATTAATTCCAGTTGCATTTCATATATTGAAACTGCAGGTGGGGAAGAAACTTTTGTCCAAAGCTGTCACTAGGCCTCCTCAGAGACCCAGAGAGGCCCTGGCCACTTTCTGCTTTTGAGGCCCCCTAGATAGAATAAAAATTAAAGTTAATTAAATTAATTAAATTAAAGTTTATTAAATTAAAGTTATTAAATTAAAACAAGGCATCAAAAATAAAGTGAGTTATATTCACAAATACTGTTTTAGCTGTTAGCATGTGCCACATTTGGGTCAGGTGTGCATAAAAACAGGTTGTGAAACTCACCAAATGCCAAAAATTGAAAAAAATGCCTAAATGTGAGGCTCCCTTTGAGGTTGTTGCCCTGGGCCAAACAGCCCTCCTATCGCTTGCAATATCTGCTTCCCACCGTTGATGGTTTCCTCCTGGTTTCTTCCCCTGTGCAGGGAATCTGGCGCATCCCCGTGGATGAAATTGATCGCCCTGGTAGCTTTGCCTCTCACATGAACCGCTCCATCGTCCTTCTGCTCAACGTCTTGTCGCAGCTCAAGGATTACAACACCCTGCTGAAAGTCTCATCTATGCTGCAGAGGACCCCCGACCAGGGAAAGTGAGGACGGCCCAGGTTTCTTGTTTCTGGCTTGAAATGATAAGATGCTAACCACCACCCCTGTGGCCGAAACCCTTCTTAGCTCTTACATATATTAGTTAGAGAATAACAATGGTTGGTTTGCAAAAGTGTTTGTTTTCGGCCTTGAAGCCTCACTGTCTAGACTGAACAAGCTGTATCTTGGCTTTAATGCAGAGCAGTTTGTCAAAGGCCAGATCCAGGCACTTTCCTCCCCACTATATACCCTGCAAATCTCTTGTCATTTGTAGGTCCCCTTCAGCTGCTCTCAGTGTTGAAAATGGATATTAAAAATCCTTTCCAGGAAAGGAGAGGAGCAAAAAGATAGGAAGAGGATACAGGTGAGGGTGGGGGAATAGAGATTACAGAGGAGCGGGGAACTGGTTCCTGGCTTTTCTGCCCTTGGAGGCCTTTTGGAAGTTATTTCCCACCACAAGAGTTCAGCAAATAATATCAACTGCATTTCCAGCACCTCAGAAGCCACTCTTCCATCTTTGACTGCTCAAAGTAGTTGAGCTCTTAAGGTGCGAATATGCTCATTTTGGAGAAGCATGTGGTGTGCGTGTGTCACAGATCAAAATCGCAGATAGGCTCCCTCAGATCTTTCTTTGACAGTAGCAACAGCAGTTAACAGTTCCATATTTACATCCTTTTTACTTTTTCTCATTTTGTACATTGGATGGCATCGCAGGGATCTCTTTCCTTTCCCCCATAAACTGATGGTGTAGATCCTTTGCTGGCTTTAATGATTTCGAGGTCTTTTAGCAGAGCTAAATGAAAGAAACTCAGTCCTGCTTCCTTTCAATAGAGCAACTTTCAGGACCACATTTAACGTTCTCAGCATAAGGACACTGCCTCATACTGAGATAGATGGACTCAATATCGCCTGCACTGACTGGAGATGTCAATGAGGATTGGACCTGCGACCTTCTCCAGGCAAAGCAGGCCCCTTCCCCCTGCACTCTGGCCCCTTCCCCACAATGGTAAGGGTCTCAATCCCCTGTGCATCCCTCAGTCAAGAGGCAGGCTGAGCACCTTCAGTGGCCAAAAGCAGATGAACTGAAATATTTCATTTGGGGGAGGGGGTGGAATCAATGAAGTGTGGTATAAACGTTACATTCAAGCATATTCAATTCAAGCTTTGCTGCAGAATCAATGTTTTCTGGACGGCTTGAAAATTGATTAGATTTCAAGAAAAACACATGAAGGCTCTGAAGAGTGCCAGCATACTAAATTTAGCGTGGGTTAACAGCTGTGCTCATAAATATATCTGCTTCCTAGGGATGGCCCCTTGGAAAAAGTTAATAACTGCTTTATGTTAGATTTGACCGACATCTCTTCCAGTTTCCCAGTTTGGCATGTATTGCGTGCATTCATTGTGCTAATAATTAATTTTATGAAACAATGCATTTCTAAAAGGAAGAAATCTTCCACCCACATCTCTGCTGGCTTCTGGATGCTGCCGGTTCTTTGGGTGGAAAGTGGTTCAGGGAGCCAGCGTGGTAGAGCAGTGCTATGGTATAGGGGGAAAGGGGGGCAGGCAAGAGAAACAGTTTATCAGTTCCGTACCTCCCGTACTGGATAAGCCAGAACCCCCAAATTCCCAGCTTTCATTTTTTTAAACAAGCAAGCAAATCTCTAACCCTTGTTTTTGTTTTTCATAAATTGAAAATGCCTCTTGATTGCGAAGAACCTCAGAGTGGCAGTCGTAGGGCCCAATGTGAGAGGCTAATTGTTCACTCAGTTGTTTGGTGAGGATCTTGCCAGTTCCTCCCTTTTGGGTTTTTAAACCAATGAACAAAGCTATAGCAATGGCTGACATTTAGGAAAGCAATCTAACTTATTTATTTTATAAAAATATACTGCCCACTCACATAAAATACAAATACAGTTCACAGCAGTATCTGCAAATACAATAAAATATATATTAGTAGTAATAGTATTTTTACTGTATTTGTGTTTTTTATGGAAGCCGCCCAGAGTGGCTGGGGAGGCCCAGCCAGATGGGCGGGGTATAAATAATAAATTATTATTATATTATTATTATGACTACTACTGCCCCTATTACGGCTGCTGTTGTTGTTGTCATCGTCATCATTTGTTACCCTCTCTTCACCCTAAGATCCCAGGATGGGTTACAACATTAAAATACAATATTAAAAAAAGTTTTGAACAACTAACTAACTGGCGAAGAACATCCAGAAAGTGTGACTGTCCGTGTGTGATTTTCACTTGCCAGTCACTGCCAGCAGGCAGAAACGGGCTAAGTTTTCGCCCTCCTCTCTAGGCTGTCTTTTTGCCTCCATGGCTGCCAAATGGCCAAGTTTCTCCTCAGAGCCTTTGCTCATGCAGAGCCTCCATCATGGAGGGCTGCTTTGTGACCCCCCTGCCCCCCCCCTGCATGGAGTGCTGCTGCACTGCAGTCCTCCTCTATCCAATACTCTATTAAAAATATTTTCAGTTTTCAGTTTAACAACAGTAGTCCTCCTTTATATTTGTATCCCTCATTTTGACTTCCCTCCACCCCTCCTCTGGTTACATAGTGAATACATTTAATTAAACTGCACGTCTCCCTTAACATCTTTTTTTTTATTATTCTGTTTACTTTCCCCCCAAGATCACATTTTAAATGCTTGATTTTATATTAATCCTGCTAATGTATTTAGTTGTTCACAATGGTTCTTTAAATAATCTACATAACATCCCCATTCTTTAATAAAAACACTTTCTTCTTGATATCTTATTATTCCCATACGTTTTGCCATTTCTGCGTATTCCATGAACTTTGCTTGCCACTCTTCCTGATTGGGATGGTATCCAATACTCTCAATAGGACTGTAGGCCCCTTCTGGGGGACAAATGGCGGGGGTACCCTGGAGAATTGAAACCTCCATACCTTTTCCTCCTCCCTTCCTTTCTCTGCCTATTGGAGAGCCACCTGGGTTGGTGACAAGTGAATTGTTGAGGTTATTGAGGTTCCCAGCGTTGACTGTCACATCTAATCACAGCTGCACCTTCATTCCCACTTGTATGTTAGCAACAGCAGCCCCCTGCTGTTCAGCTGATTAGCTTCTGAGGATTCCCCTTAGCTAAGAAAACCTCTTTGGCAAAAAGAGGAGCTTTCGCTACCTGCCTGTCACAGAGGGAGCGCCATGGCTGAGGCTCTTCATCCCTCCATAATTCCTGGCTGAAGAAGTGCTCATCCACTGATGGGCAGCATCCATAAAAGCTAACTTTTAATAAATTAGGAACATAATTTTACAGTGTTGTTTGGCAAAGAGGAAGCAGTTAGAAAGTCAAAGTCTTTCTTAGCCTGGATGCCTCTCGATTTCCTCTGGTGACGGAGGTGCATTATTTAAGCTTAAAATAATAAAAAGTTATCTGGGAGAATTGATAGTGGCCATAGGAGGTCAACTTGATTGCTATGCATTAAGAATAAGTTGCTTGGTTACTCCCTTTTTCATGATGTTAGGCAATGAAATTGTGGGCCTCATTCAGTGCCAAGTAGCTGATACGGCCAATTCCAGCCAGTCCATTGCCCAGGAAATCTTGAGAGTACAGAGCCTTCCATGCCCCTTCAGTGCCTTGTTTGAGATGTTCTTCACTGTGTTTGGCTCTCTGGAGACTGGCTGGCATGTTTATTTAGCAGTGGATTAATTTACTCCATCAGGGTCTAATCTGGGGCTGTCGGCAGCAGCAAGTGAGGGGAAATGGAATCATCATCACTTCAGTTTTTATCTGCGCAGGTGAAGCAGATCTGGCGATGCTCTGTGTATAGATTTGAGTAGATTTCCTGAGTTGGTGCATGGAAAAGACAAACAGCCTTTTTGCGTGCTGTTGCAACAGGAAGGCGTTCTGGAGTTCAGGACAGGCGTAGCTGAGAAGCCCAGCGGATGTCAACAAACCCAGTTAGAAGCCAAACGCGTTGATATTAAGCATTATTTCTAAAAGGATTTAAATATTTGTTTGAGAGCTTTTGCGTGGGTACCCGACGTTGGAAGCAAATGTGGGAGGAGTGTCTTTTTCTGTGTTCATTGTTCCTCTTTAAATAGAAGGCTACGGGCTTTTAAGAGCAAAGCAAGTCAGGCTTTGCTGTTGTGGGCAAAGGCATGCACATGGTGAAGCAGCAATGTGGTTGCCCTCTTTGCCCTGTCCCTGGGCTAGCCTTGCCCCAAATGGTTGTGGGTTGAATATAGAAGGAACTCCTCCTCATGAGCAGCTGCAACACTCAATACTACTGGGGGAGGAGGCAGCATCATGACCCCACTTCTGAGTCCCTATGTGGGTGCCCTACATACAAGTAACACATGGATCTCACATATGGGTGAAAACTCAAGGGACGTCCACTGATGGGACTCTACCTAAGCAAGGGATAAAGAGATGATGGTGCAGACAGTAGCTAAGGAGAGGCCATCCAGCCTGTGTAGGAAGCCATGAGAAAGACCAAGGCAGTGTTTGCATGAATGTTATGCAAATACTGTTGGAGGTTAATGGAGGAGGAAGAAAGGCCAATTTCTTCCTATCTTCTTCCACCGACTCTTCTCCCTGGTCTCGGATTCTGCCAGTCATTTCTGCCAGTTCCATGTAGTCCATCACCTTCATCTGCCATTCTTCCAGAGTGGGTAGATCTTGTGTCTTCCAATACTTTGCAATAAGTATTCTTGCTGCTGTCGTGGCATACATAAAGAAAGTTCTATCCTTCTTTGGCACCAATTGGCCGACCATGCCCAGGAGAAAGGCCTCTGGTTTCTTCAGGAAGGTATATTTAAATACCTTTTTCATTTCATTATATATCATCTCCCAGAAAGCCTTAATCCTTGGGCACGTCCACCAAAGGTGAAAGAATGTACCTTCAGTTTCCTTACATTTCCAACATTTATTATCGGGCAAATGATAGATTTTTGCAAGCTTGACTGGAGTCATGTACCACCTGTATATCATTTTCATAATATTCTCTCTTAAGGCATTACATGCCGTAAACTTCATACCTGTGGTCCATAACTGTTCCCAGTCAGCAAACATAATATTGTGTCCTACATCCCTCCAGGGAATCCTCAGCTAGTAGCCATACACTCTGATGATGGAGAAGGCAGGCCTGGCAGACACTATCTCTTTCACAAAAACATTGCTGGGATGACGAAAGGAGCCACTGCCCCTGTTGCTTCCTTTCATCAATTCCCCTCTTGGTGCAGGAGCCTTGGAGGGCTTGGTAGGCCTCAGAATGGGGCCACACAGTGAGGGGCGTATCTTTGGAAACAACCGTCTACGGTCTAGAGGCGGTTCCCAGTGAGTTACTGAGGGATACGCAACATTCTTGTGCTGGCCTGCTTAGATTCTCAGCATAGCCGAAGGATTTAAACATAGTCCATGCCAGCACGTAATCATTTGTGGCTCTTAAGACTGAAGCTGCCGCTGGATAAAATCGCGAAATGGACGTATTGTTGGGCTTTTGCTTCTGGCTTTGTGCGAGAGCGGCCGAAGGAAGTTTGTTTTCTTTGAGCAAGCTCACTAGACTGGAATGAAACTTCTTTATTGTGTATGTGTATGAAAGAAAAGAGACACACTTGTCTCAGGTTAAGGAAAAACCATTGTAGTCTTCAGTGCATTTTGAACAAAATGATATCTTTTTTTTTTTTAAAAGATATTTATTAAGATTTTCAAAGTATTACAAAATGAAAAAAGAAAAATACAAAATAAAAATAGTTAAAAACAATTCCATCTTTCCATTACTTATCTTTCATTTGCTTGTTTCCCGGACCTCCTCACACCTCCCTTTTTTGTATTCCAGTTCAATTTGTTAGTTCAGCAAATCCTTTCCCTCTTTGTTTATCCTAATCTTTAATCTTAAAATATTATAACATTAAATTTTTACCTGTTAATAATCCATTTTTTCATATTCCTTATAGCATTATAGCTAAAAGCCACTTAACTTCTTATCCAACATCATTCTAACATTCATTAATTTTACAGTATTTCTGTAAGTAGACTTTAAACTTTTTCCAATCTTCTTCCACTGACTCTTCTCCCTGGTCTCGGATTCTGCCGGTCATTTCCGCCAGTTTGAACAAAATGATAAATTGGGGACATCCAAAGAGTCCTTTAACTGGATTGGGGGCCACAGGGGGCATCTCCTCCTGGTCTCAACAGTGGCCAGCCAGGTACTTTTTGGATGTCCACAAGCAGGACCTGAGTGCAAGTGGCTTTCTCTCCACTTGTGATTCCCAGGAACCTGGTATTCAGAGGGATCTGGTGGTCTTCTGAAGGTATTATCAGTCACAGTGGTGAGCTCTGGTTAGGATAAACCCTCCTTTGAAGGCTGGTTTGTCAGAACCTGGGTGGGCAAGACTGTCTCCCTTTCTTTTAGCACAGTGCACCATGGTTTTGTTTGTATTGTGGCTCAGCTCACGTCTTGTTTGTGCAGTTAAAAGATGCTTCTGGAAATTCGAGAGCTTTTTGATTTAAGGGCTGTAGGCTCGTAAATATTCATCATCAGCCATGCTACCTATTTAGCATCATTGGAGTTCACGTCGTTAGGCGGGAGACATCTTCTCCACCAGCCCAAAATGAATATATTTCAGGGCAGGCCTTCTCTATGTCAGGAATGAACTTGAGTAGCAAATGATGTCGTAGCCTTGGGCCTGAGCAAAGCACCAGTGGTGGGAAGGGAAACTCTGGCCAGATTGAGCCAAGTGAACTATGGATTCTTAGTTTTGTCCTTTGAAAGGGGTGTGCAGTGGCCAGCAGTTGCTTCATCTAGGTGGTTTTTGGAGGCAGAGAAATCCAGCAGGATCCAGAGCATTTGCAAATGCTGTCTCCTCGATTTCAAATGCATCTGCAAGTCCTGTTATCAAATGCCTTCCTGCCCTCTTTTTTCCCTGTGCTGCAGGAAGTACTTGCGGGATGCAGACCGCCAGGTCCTTGCCCAGCGTGCCTTCGTCCTCACGGTGACTGTGCTGGAGGACATGCTGAATGAGCTCACCGAGGTATGGCCCTAAAACCCCTGCATGCTTCTTGGTGGGGGGGGGTGCCGCTCCTAATTCAAGGAGACAAATTCTTTGTCTCTTTTAAAGGTCTCCGAAGATCCAGACTCCAAGTGCTGCAGCTTTTTTGCGTCCAGGATGACGACCGACGTCTCTAACAAAGCAAATGCGGAAGAAGGACAGGAAGCCCTCCCGCAAAAGGCAGCCTTGTCTGAAGGCGGGGTGGCAGCTTATGGGGCAGAGAATGGGGTGAAAGAAGCAGCCCAGGGGGTGCAGCAGCCCCCCACCGCCATGGACACAGCAGAGCTGCGAGAGGCAACCCCTGAGGGAGAAGCAAAAGAGGCTCCCCAGCCGGGCTCAACGGAGCTCATGGACTCGGAAGGATATTCTGAGGATCCTGAAAAAATGGGCTCTTCCTATAGAGGCCCTGAGTCGACCCGAGGGCTGCCCGGGCGGATCCCTAAGGATAAAAGCTTAGAGAGCAGCCGGCCAGCCGAACTGTCCTTGGAGGAGCTGAGCATCAGCTCTAAGCACCAGCAGTTGGAGGCGGCCAAAGTCCGCGTCCAGGCAGCTCCGATGGAGGAGGTCAGCCAGAGGCCAAGCCGGAAAAGGAAGCTGATCGATGACACAGAGTCGGGGAAGACCCTCCTCCTGGATGCTTACCGTGTGTGGCAGCAGGGTCAGAAGGTCATGACTTACGACCTGGCCAAGATCGAGAAGATCATGTCTGAGACGTACATGCTCATTAAGCAAGTAAGCAGCAGGGTTGAAATGTGCCTTTGCTGTCATGTTGGCGAGAAGCCGACAGGGTCTTGTATTATTGTTTGTGTTGTCTTATTGGTTCCATGGTGACCAAGGAAGAATGCTGGTGGCTGTCACTGTGGCGGCTTGGTGTGGGCTCTCAGGAGAAGCTCCTTGGCTTCTGAGGACTACATGGGCGGTGTTCAGTCCCCAAATGGTCTCATTCTTAGAAAATCCAGGGAACTGAGGCAACACCCTCTTCCTGGCCTGACCTATCTGTTTATGCTAAGCCCCGTGGGCCAGGATCAGCACTGCACCAAATGGAGCTCTGGTCAGCTTCCACATTGCCCATTTATTTTTCCAGTATAATTTTTAATCAGTGAAGGACAGTACTGCAGACAAAACCTCCTAGCAGCTGCAGCAGCATGACTGTCTCTTGCAATGATGCAGAGGCAGGGCAGGGCAGCAGGGAAGTGTGGGCGGTGCAGGTCCAATCAGAACTATCCCAGGCCACATCTATCTATTCCGCTCACACCCCATCCCAGTCTGTGGCCAAAGCACCTCTGCCAGGGGGCTGGGCCTGTAGCGCCACTCCTCAACGTTCTCCCCGTAGTCAGGCCAATGGGGGTCATTAAAGCAGCCGCCCAGGAGGGACACAACACGAAGTCCGATTGGAATTTTGCAAAATGAATCCACTCAGCAAGACTTCGATTGCATTGTAGCAAATTTCAAGTGAGGGTTTGTTGCCTTTTGGCTCTGGAGGCTGCCTTTCCTGTGGGCATTTGTGGACTTGCTTCTGCTGATGGTGTGGGTTTCTTTCTGCAGGTGGATGAAGAAGCAGCCTTGGAACAAGCTGTCAAGTTCTGCCAGGTGCACGTGGGGGCCTCTGCACAGAAGCAAGTAAGTTCCGAGCTTGCTAGGCTCTTGAGCACCACCAGGTGTGTGGCATCCTCAGGCTTGCGAGAGAAGGAAGCAGAAGATCCCCCTCCAGCTTTGGGGCCATTTGCTCTCCTTTTCGTCATACATATAGCATTTTTTAATTTTAATTTTGTATTCCGCCTCTCCATAGTTCAAATTGTAATTATAAAATATGCATCCGTCTGGAATTGATGTGGAGGATTTTCCATGATGGAGATGTGTATTGCAAGTAAGATTTTTATACAGTGGTACCTCGGGATGCGAACGGGATCCATTCCGGAGCCTGTTTGCATCCTGAAGCGAATGTAACAAGCGACGGCGTGTGTGCGCGGGTCGCGTTTTGCCGCTTCCGCGCATGCGCGTAACGTCATTTTGAGCATCTGCGCATGCGCGAGCGGCAAAACCCGGAAGTAACACGCTCCGTTACTTCTGGGTTGCCGTGGAGCGCAACTCGAACGCGCTCAACCCGAAGCACATTCAACCCAAGGTATGACTGTACAGGTATTTGAAATGGATTATTTTGTTCATGTTAATAGCCTGGCGTGATCTACAATATTTTAGTCAAAGTTTGTTTGGTCACCCATCTGGAATGTTGCAGCGGGACAATCCCTGCCTGGATCAGGGGGTGGCCTCTAAGGTGACCCCTTCTAAATTTGTAACCTAGTAACCCAAAGTCCACCGGGCTGAATTCATCTGGCCACTGGGATTCTTCTCATTTGGCACATGGCTAGATTTCTCATTCTCTTGTCTTGAAATAAGCATACTCATTCCATGAAATGTTTAAAATTATTGCATATTGAATATTGTAGTTTTGTTTTTAGTTTCGCTACCTGCTTAGTAAACAGTAAAGTTTAGTGAGGCTTGTTGAGATTTTTTTCTTCACTTTTGTCTTGCTTTTCTCAGCTCTGACTTGCTCCTTAGAAGGAGGCTTCAGACAGGCTCCTGACTTGGGGGGAATTTTGCCTTCCCTTCTTCTCTCTAAAGCTGGGAGAGCGGGACGGTGTTCAGCATAAATTCTCGGGACCTTACAAACAGCTTTCTTCCTTGGTGCCTTTTGTTTTTCTTTAATTGTTCCATCTGTGTGGAATACCATCTCCTTGATTAGAAAATCAAAAGGCCCTGAAGTACAAATGTTCCAGCATAACCCACTAATTAGCCCCCTTGTTCTCCGTGCCTCTTGGGGCTGCCGTGTTTGAAAAATAACACCATTGCAGTTGTTAATTGCTAGCGTGCATCGAGGAAGTTAGCAGTCAGTGTGTGAAGCAGACCGCTAAAGCGAATTGGCTTGATTAACCCCCTCGTCCTTTCACAAGCCATTCATGTTCCTGGACAAGCAAGCTGGTGATTCTCTCAAGAGGAAAACACTCCTCCCTGCAGGTCCACCAACTGGGGATGCTGCTTGTTGTTGTTGTTGTTTAGTCGTGTCCGACACTTTATGACCCCCTGGACCAGAGCACGCCAGGCACCCCTGTCTTCCACTGCCTCCCGCAGTTTGGTCAAACTCATGCTGGCAGCTTCGAGAACACTGTCCCACCATCTCGTCCTCTGTTGTCCCCTTCTCCTTGTGCCCTCCATCTTTCCCAACATCAGGGTCTTTTCCAGGGAGTCTTCTCTTCTCATGAGGTGGCCAAAGTATTGGAGCCTCAGCTTCAGGATCTGTCCTTCCAGTGAGCACTCAGGTCTGATTTCCTTAAGAATGGATAGGTGTGATCTTCTTGCAGTCCATGGGACTCTCAAGAGTCTCCTCCAGCACCATAATTCTTTTTTTTTTTTTTTTTTTTTTTTGCAGTCAGTCAAGCTAACTTTAATTTGTTTCAGCATATTCTGTCCTTCTATTCCACTTCTTGTCCTCAGCTGTCTCCGCCGTAATATTTTTTATTAGTTTTCATTAAAAAAAATACATATCGCACCACATTACAACTTTAACAAATTTTCTAATTTTTGGACTTCCTTCAGCCTCTCTGAAAATCATCCGAATTAGACTTTTTAGTTATACATTTCCTAAATTTTCTGTTGCCTTTTAACATACTCTTCCACACCTGTTTTTCTTTCTTACAATATTTTTTAGGTTTTTACAGAGCTTCTTTAAATGCCGCCAACATTATTTCATTATCACTTATACATTCCCAATACCCCACTAGCTTTCCCCAGTCCTCGATGAACTTTTGACCTCGTAGATATCTGATCTTCCCTGTCAGTTTATCAAGTTCTGCATAGTCCATCAGCTTCATTCTCCACTCCTCCAATGTTGGTACTTGTTCCTGTTTCCATTTCTTGGCCAGTAATATTCTTGCCGCTGTTACTGCATATTGGAAAAGTTTACAATCATTTCTATTTATTTCATTTCCTATAATTCCTAGAAGAAAGGCCTCTGGTTTCTTAACAAATGTATATTTCAACATTTTTTTCAGTTCATTATATATCAATTCCCAAAAGCTCTTCACTTTCTTACATTCCCACCACATATGGTAAAAAGTGCCATCCTTTTCTTTACATTTCCAACATTTCTTGCATGTTTCCTCCAGCACCATAATTCAAAAGCATCAACTCTTTGGCGATCAGCCTTCTTTATGGTCAGGCTCTCACTTCCATACATCACTACTCTCATGTGAATGCAATTAGTTAGGCTCCCCACCTAAAGATGTCCCAGTCGCTCATTTCAGTCTGGTGCTGCTGGGCTTTGTGGGTTCTGACAGCCCTGAAGGACAGCTGGTGGCAACCAGTCCTAGCTCAGGGCCAGAACACTTGCTTTGCATGCAGAAGGTCTCCACTCAGACCCCAGCAGCATCTCTGGGTAGGCCTGGCAAAGACGCCCTGCCTGAAACCTTGGTGAGCCATTACTACCAGTCAGCGTAGAGATGACACCAAGTTAGATGGGTCAAGAGTCTGCTTCCTCCCTTCCTGAGGTGAAACCTCTTTAACACCCTTCTTCTTGTGCCTCCTTCACTTAAGGTCCAGAGGGTGTCAACACAAAAATAGGCCTTTTCTGTAGTGGCTCCCATTTGTGGAATGCCCTCCCCAGGGAGGTTCAGCTGGCACCTTCATTACAGTGGTACCTCGGGTTAAGAACTTAATTCGTTCTGGAGGTCCGTTCTTAACCTGAAACTGTTCTTAAGCTGAGGTACCACTTTAGCTAATGGGGCCTCCCGCTGCCACCACACAATTTCTGTTCTCATCCTGAAGCAAAGTTCTTAACCTGAGGTACTATTTCTGGGTTAGCGGAGTCTGTAACCTGAAGCGTCTGTAACCTGAGGTACCACTGTATATATATTTTAGGTGCCAGGCGAAAATGTTGCTCTTCAACCAGGCCTTTGGCTGATTAATATTCTACAGCCTTTTAAATGGGTCTGTGCGAATAGGAGTTTATTGTTTCGTTTTGATTATTTTGCTTGTGTTTTTATCTTGCGTTTTGTTCTGTGAACTGCCCGTAGAAACGATGTCACTGAGGGAGAAGAGGGAAACTGCGCTTGGACTGAAATCCCCTCTTCCCCCTTGCCTGGGAGCGAGTCCCACTGAACCTAGCCTTCTCTAAAGGTCCCTCTACCCCTGTCGGAGCATTGGGATTGGTGCCTGAGGCTCCCCTCTCTGGACCACCACCAGCAGCCATTAGGGTGGGGGCAATACAGATGGGGCTTCCTCCACGGTGGCCTTTGTGAGTTGGGGGCCACAGAGGGATGCCTCCTCCATATTCCTCCCAACCTCTGTCCTTGCCATTGTAAGTTGGCTTGTGAGGTGTTCAAAGGGTAATTTAAATAAATAAGCAAAGAAGCTTGGGTTTGTGCAGATGCAGGGGGGAGGAACTGAGGTTTTGACTGCCTGTATCCCATAATGCCGCCTCTGCAAAGGGCGTTTTCCTCATGCAGCCTTGCCTGCCTCTGCTCCAGCTTTGCAGTCTCTGACCCCCACCCCCTGCAATGCGCTTGTGCCTTAGGAGATGCCCGTTAGCAGCGGGTGGGAGGGAGGAGGGCTCCTCTGCTAATTGCAGGCCTTGTCTTTCCTCGCTGGGATTTGCCTTTCTGAGAGACTCCCTCGGAGCTGAGGCTGCATGTTCTTAGCATGCTTGGAGGAGCTGTAGGTAGCCGACATTCCTCCTCCTCTTATGTTTTGCTTCATTTCTATTACTGTCTAGAAGAAGGGTGTTTTTATCTGCATGGGGTGGGATGGGGAGGAAAACAGCTTGGGCCAGGGAGGTGTCTCTGGGCATCAGCTGGAAGGAGAGTTGGCCCTCCAGACCCATTTCAGCAAGGGAGCACTTGGAACCTCCCGCCACCAGTTCACTGACCCAGATGTGGACCAGCAGTCCATGTCTCCTGCCTCAGCCAGCTGCCCTTCTCGCCTTCCTCTGTTTCTGAGGTGTATCAAATGCCATTCCCCCCCTAAACAAAGTTATCTCTTTTGAAGAAAAATATAATCCATTTTGTCTTGACCTTGGGAACTTTGACTAATCCAGATTTAGCAGTATTGGCCAGTTTTTGACCTTAGGGCTTATGGGCGGGTTGGGAAGAGAATGTGTGAGAAAAGTTTGTGTGTGACTTTTTTTCTTGGTTAATCTGCTTAGCGCTGTAGAAGTGATGCTGATGTTCGGCTCCTAGGCAATATATCCCTTTGAAATTTGCGCTTCTTTATTGAAAAAAATACCAATTTGTATGCCACTTAGAGTTGACTCTCTGTGGTGTACAACTAACTCAGTACAATACAGCTAAAAATCAGTAAAACTACAAAATCAGGATACAGTTCATTTTTAATTCCTTGACCCTATTGATGCTTCTTTCCACAGAGCCTCTTGGTATTTGGAGCTCCCGGGTGGAGAAGGTCTTTCCTCTTGCCCTGAGCTGGCTGCCGCAGCAGCCTTTCCCCCTCTCCTTCCTTACGGCCTTTGCTTGTCTCCTCCTCCAGGCTACAGGGGAAGCACCGACCACTCCAAAGCACCCGAAGGACAGCAAAGAGATCTGCTTCCCAGCCGCCCCCGCCTCTCTGACGCCTCCTGCTGGGACTGCCTACTCCCTGGCTTCAGAGGCCCTCCTGAGAGCAGCAGCTGACCTGCAGGCCAAGCCCAAGACAGCTTCTCCCCCATCCTCCTCCTCGTCTTCTTCCTCCTCCTCCTCCTCTGCCAGCGTGCTGCTACTGCTGCCGCCCCAGGAGCAAACCGGGGCAGAGAGTGTCGAAGAGGCCCCTGTTGTCTCCAGCCTGGTCTGTGGTGAGCTACATCTTTGCAGAGAAGCTTTATAGAGTTGCCCAAAGTATCTGTGCATCCCAGCGTCATTGTGTCCGTGAAACATGTCTGTGGTTTCTGGCTTGGGCAGGCGGTGGGGAGGCGATTTTTGACACAGCTCCTCAAACTACAGCCCACCTTCCTTGCTCCCATGTGGCTCTTTGCACAGAAGGGTTTAAATGCTTCGTGCAAAAGAATGAAGGTGAGGTCACAAGCGGCTTGGCACAGAATTCCACCAGAATTTGCTTGTTTTATATTTATAAAAATACTTACTGTAAAGATGGATCGTAGCGGTTTGCAACAATATAAAAACACAAAGCTGGTAGTCAAATCATAAAAAGTTAAAAGCAAGAAGAAATTTAAAACCTGAATTCCACCCAGTGTCTGTGCACTATTGTCCAAAGGATGCAGAGATGGCAGCTGGACCCATTTAGAATGTTTTGGGTCCAGCTTCAGGAGGAATGATGAGGCAGTGCAGCACCTCAGCCCAATTCTCTTCTGCAAACATCAACTGCAGATCATCCCGTGCAGGGTTTGGGGAGTTGAAGATTTCTCATTATCTTGGTGGGGTGGGGGGCAGTTCAGACCACCGCTTGATGTGGTGCAGGGAACCACATCCCTGCCTGCCTGAGCCACATTCTGGGTGCGGTTGCTCCTTACACAGTTGAGCCACTTCAGCAAAAACCCCAGAAGGGACGGACAAGTTGGTAGTAGCCACATGGCTGTGATGAACCATGAGTGGCTGAGATGGGAGCATTTGGATCCTTGTGTCCTTCAGGCAGAGAGCTGAAAGCATGAAGCCTTTTGGGGGTGGGGAAAGCTTTGCAATTGCTAAAGTCTTGCCTTACTGAAGGTAGCAAAGAGCTACTGCTGCCGCCACCCTGCAGCGGGTTTGTTTTTGAGAGAAGGGGCTCGCTGAAATGATGTCCCCTATTTGTGGGCGTTATGTGTGAAGCGCAAGATGAGCTGGTGAGAATAGGAACCGCCAACTAATGAAGTCGTGAACCCCAAAGCACCAGCTCTCAGCATCCGCGGGTGCTGATGGGTTTCCCTGGCAACAGGTTGGGAAGGAGAGGTGGAGGGGGCTGTTGGCACATCCGAGGTTTCTCTCTTCAGCCTGTTTCTTCTTTGGTAAAAGCTGGGAGAAGGAGGAAGGCCTGGCCTGCCTTGTCCCTCTCACACAGCTGTGCCGAAGGGGGCTGCTTCAGGCTGAGTCTCAGAGGGTCCATCCCTGAAATCTCAAAAGCCATCTCTCTGTGTTTGTATGCACTCAGTAGTTACAACTCTGGTTTTCTTTTCGAGAGCAGTACTTCAGTTGAAGTGCTAGGCATTTGAAGATGACTTACATCTCTGCCTTGTTGTCTGTTTTGCTGTGGAGGTTATGGATATCCCTGCAGTTGAATTATTTTTCCCCAGGGGTTTCGCAAAATTGGCATTAAAATGTACAACATCAGAAAACGAGCTTCTGATTTCCTCTAGAGCGCCCCCCCCCCATTCCCTCTGCCGATTCAGACTCCTGGGACCTCGACTCCACCTCCCAAGGAGAAGGAAGTGTGTGTTTTGTGTTCAGATAGTCGTAGCAGAGCCCAGCATCTCATAGCCCAGGTTCCAACAGTGGGAGTGGGGGACCCCTCCCCCCCCCGAAATGTTTCAGGCAAGGCAGCCCTTGTGTTGACTCCGCATTCTGGCCTGCATGTTTTTACCTGAATTGGATACTTCACAGAGCAGTGCTCTTACTCTAGAGGAGGTGCAGAGATCCTTTGTGCCTCCAGATGTTGCTGACTTACAGCTATCATCATCCCTGGCCATGCTTGCTGGGGCTGATGGGAGTTGCAATTCAGCAACATATAGGGCCAGATGTTTCAGTTCCAGTTAAATAGAAGGTTGAGAGGATGTTGCTGCAGCTCTTCTTGAGAGCAGTCCCCACGTGACATTTAACTCTCACCCTCGAGTGCCATGTCTAAGAGCGTAATGGTGAGGGTTGTGTCTGTTTCTGAGAACGACATCGGCCCCATTGAAATGACATCTTTTACTTATGAAGAACCTCATAAAAGGAAGCACCCTTCCCCTTTCAGCTGTGCAGACACTGCCAGCTAAATATCAAGGAGTTCTCATCTGGCACATGGTTCTCCCTGTGAGGAAGGCCAGTTCTGTTCTCTGGGCAGTTGGGGATGCCCAGCACCAACATCTCCCTTACAGTGTGAACAAAGGGCCGGACAGCACATCTTCACTGAAATGAAGGTGGCTGCCATGTATCTCTGATTCCTCTCTAAATGAGCTAATTTCAGTTGAGGTCATGGTGGCTGGAGGTGAGTGGACTTGGGACTGCAGTCTACACACACCCCATAAATGCCCCACTGAAATTAAGGGCACAATTTGCTCTGGGAGGGCCAGCCTAGCCTCCCTGAGTTGGACTACCAAGGACCCACTTGGTGGAAGGAGAGCTAATCTGGGTTGTGGCCCTTCTTCCTGAGGCAGTCGGAAGGCTGGGCCTGAAGCTGACCAGCTGTCCTTCAAGGAGAGGAGGACCTCAAGTCCTGCCTAAGTCCTAAAGAGCTGGACTCCCAACTGCCTCTGCTTTCAGATGCAGATATGTGTCAATAGATACTTAGGACTAGCAGAAGCAAACCAAAGCCAAGTCAGAAGCAGCTGTTGTGTCCTCTCATTGGAGGGAATGTGGAACGTTAAGAAAATGAACACATGGCTTAAAAGCAGAGTCAGGGTGTGTATTATATCATCTTTATCCTCTTCAGCCACAAGGGAGCCCCCAAACCTCTCTCCGCAGACAGCCATTAGCAAGTGTCTGCCAAAGAGGAAGTGGCAATTGACATAGGACCTTGTCACTTGATGCAACAGAGGAGGCTGCCAGCCAGCCCACTTGATGTGCTTCCCTTTTCTTCCCCATTGATCAGAAAGGAGAGCCTGTGTCTCACTGTGAAGGCAACTGCATTCAGGCAGGGCCTGTGACTCAATCGAAGCCGGACAGATCTGGCTGAGTGGCAGGCATTCCAGTCCGGCTCAGTAAATATTTAGCGAGATAAGCCCCCCACAGCCAGCCGCCATTAGGCAACAGAGCTGCCGCTGCATCTTTCAGAAGGGAGAAGGGGAGCCACTTGCAACCTCACATCTGCCTGGCCAAAGGGGACCTCCTGTTGATGTCTTGTCTGCATACCCTACAATCTGGGAAGCTGTGGGTGGGCAGACCTTTGCTGGGGGCCTGGCTAACCCAGAAGGTTTCTGGTGCAGAAGGCTCCACTAGTCACTTCCGTTACTTATTCAACACCCTCCCCAGGTCTTACATGATTGACGTGTTGGGCCTTGGCAAAAGCTGCCCTCCATGTGGAAACTTCCTGGGTCTTTGCTGTGCCTGTTGCTAGGAATTGCTTGTGGGTTTCTTCCCCCCATTGGAGGATCTAATTAGATGCTGGGCCTCCTTTGGCTTGAACCAGCTGCTGCAGCTGTGCTCTTGCTATGCCCTTTTGTATTCTCACTGTGCTGAGTACAAGATGGAGGTGACAATGGTCATAAATATGTCTGGTTCCCTATCCATCCACCTTCTCTCGGTTGGGCTGCCCTTTGCCAGGAGAGTTTCTCTTGCAGCTGCCTGAAAAGCCAGGTCCTTGTGGCTTTGCTGCATTAAACCGGTAATCATATCACCCTCACTGAACTCAGTGGGACTTTCTTTTGAGTAGACCGGTGTTGGGTTGCATTGTTAATCATATGTTGCTGTACACCACACCTGGAGTCAAGCACATGCCCACTTTTAAGTATTCTGCATAAAGTCTTCACAGTGAAGCCCCATGAAGTCCACATGGCATGAACATTGTGACATTCTCCATAGTTCCCATTTCTGTGGTTGGTAGCGGAGAGAGGGGTATCTCTTGAGTCATCTTTGATCATCTTGTTGATGCAGAGGAGGAGGAGGAAGAAGAAGGCAAGCTAGACCGGCCTCTGGAAGGAGCAGGCTTGCAGCAGCAAGAATCCCACCTCTGCCAGCAGATGAAGATGGCGACGGTGGCCCCCTCGTCCAATCTGATGCCCTGGCAAGTGGAGCTGGAGCCTGTGACCAGCACCAGCGTTGGAGGAGGGCAGGTCTGCGGCCGAGGTAAGGGATGCCCAATGAAGCCTTTGGGGATCTTGGAGAAGGTGGCTTGGATAGAACAGAGAAGCACAGTATGAAAATATGCATGGGCAAGCAGGCAGGAAAGCCTCTCTGAGAACAGATAGCGTTTTGGCAGGTAGGAGGGCAAATTCCTAGGAGCTCAGTGGCAGAGGAGCATGCGGAAGCCCTTGGTGGCATCTCCAGGCAAGGCCAGGTGGACCAGAGGCAGCTTCCCATGTTACTCAAGTGTAGGGCGATCTTTTGGCAATCTGTAGTTTTCAGTGAGCTCCTCCCTGGGGTGCCCTCCATTGCCACAGAGAAGGATAGGAGGGTGGTGGCTAAATCCGAAGGTATTGCCCCAGGCAGTAGACTGGAGTGCTGGCAGGGCAGGCAGCAGTGGTGGCTCTTCTTCAAGCAGGAGCCCCTTCAGGGTATGGTGAGTAACCCTGGGGGGAAGCAGGAAGCTCTTTTTTTTCCCAGTCACTTGCAGAGCAAAGAGCCCAGGGCTCAGGCCCAGCCTGTTGCTGGTTCTGCTCTGGTGCAGACGTTTTTTTATTATGACATGCTTGTTCGCTCAAAGACCCTCTTCCGAGCTGACATTTCCTCCTCTCAGCCTCCAGCTCCAAGGCTCACCTCTGCTCCGAAACACCACAGCCCTCTGCGGGGAGCAAGGCCGACGCCAGCCGCATCAAGACCCGCATGTTTCCCAGCATGCCCAAGCTCTTCATCCCCTCGTCCGTCACCAAGTTCCCACCTGAGATCACCGTCACCCCCCCAACGCCCACCCTCCTCTCCCCCAAGGGCAGCATTTCGGAAGAAACCAAGCAGAAGCTAAAGGTACTTACCAGGATTTGGGGCAGGGAGTGTCATTGGGGCCCCAGTCGTGCTTTGAATTTGGCAGAGAGAATTTGTGTGCGCAGACTGGGGTGGCAGTGGAGGAGACCGTCCAGGCAGCTGCAGACAAGAGTCCTCTGTGCCCTCTTTGCCTCTCCCCCCCCCTTGGGTTCTCAGGTGGGCTTAAGGAACCCATCTTCTGTTTGTAAAACATAGGAACAGCCTTCAGGTCAAAGAGGGCCTCCTCCTGTTCTTCCAGAGGCCAGCCAGCTGCTCCCAATGAAGCAGAACTTTAGCAATTCCAACACCCCAAGCAGGGCCTCATCCAGGCTTGCTGAGTCCTGACTACTTAACCTTAGAGCAGGGGCTCCTTCTGTTCCCCAGCCAAAGTAAGGTCCATCCTCTGTTTGTGGGAATAAGGAACAAACTGTCTGGCTGAACAGGCAGGCAGAGTTGGGGGGGGGTGTGGCACCTGCGATACCCTTTTGCAAACTGCCTTGGTGGAAGGACTGGGCGGGGGCAAAAAGACTTCCCTCCCTCCCTCAGCCTGGAGTGTTGCCATGTTAATCTAGGATAACCACCTGGTTAAGAAATCTCCGTAGTCTCCCTCCCACCCATCGCTTGTATTGGAAGCACTGCAGGTTTTCAAGATGATTAAAGCAACCTCAGGTGGGGTGGAGGGAAATGCTTTGGGGGAATAGCAGATCTTCAGAATTTTAAAAAATAAAAAAAAACCTCTTCCCTTTGTCTGGGCCAGTCTGCTATCCTTTCAGCCCAGTCTGCGGCGAATGTGAAGAAAGAGACCCTTTGCCAGCCAGCGCTGGAGATTGTAGAAACTTCAAGCCAAGAGTCTTCGCTGGAGAGTGACTCTGATGAAGAGGATGACTACATGGATGTCTGAGGGGTGCTGGGGGGGGGCTCTGTCCACCCTTCCCTTCCCCACCCTCCGGCTTCTCTTTCCAGCATCACAGCCAGCCAGCCACCAGCCATTACCACCTTCAGTGCTGCTGCCTCTGCTGTTGCCTTTAACTTACCGGGCAGCCGAAAGCTCACCACTGTCACCCCCAAGCCAAATCTGCACTTAAATCCCTCGGCACCTCCTCACTCATTTCCCCCTCTTTAAAAGGACGGCTTTTACAGGAGGCAGCAGCAGCAGCATTTGGCTGGCTGGCTAAGCAGGAGAGACTGGACTTGGTCTTGCCTCCTTCGTTACTTTAAGCAAAACCGTGGCTTATTTTATCTCGGTGTTGTCTTAAAAGGACCAGGCGGGACAGACAGCTGGCAACCTCACTAAGACTCTGCCTCTTTGGGGACCGTTGGGACAAGCGGCGTAAGCCGAGAGGCCGCAGGGCACCTTTGGTCTTATCAGGAAACGGATTTCAGTACCATTTTGGTAATGTCTGCTTTTTACAGAACGACACAAAGAAGGGTATATGTTTGTTTTTTAAGTATATATATATATAAATATATGTGGAGGGATTGCTCACATTTATATGGGGAACATAAAGGAAGCCCAGCATTTTTTCTACTGAATGTTAACGTTGTAATATAAGGAATACAAACCCTGCACTTCAATAGTGGGGCGTGTTGTGCCCACAGCATGTGTCACAGAGCTTGCCAGGCGGGGTTTCAATTTCGGGGGGGGGGGGGGAGGTGGGAAAAGACAAGGGTTAAATAAATGGTGCAGTGCAAAGCTTTGTAATAATAAATATACATTTTTTAAATAAAGTGAGAACACGTTTCTCCCAAGCCTCTTCTCTGCTGTGCCTGGAATGCTCCTTTGCTCTTTCATCTGCTTTCCTCTCCCTCCTCCCAGGACTCCAGAAGAGGCAAAGAAATCTGAATTTTCAGGGGAGAGCGGCCCCATCTCAGGGCAAGCAGTGGGAGAGCTGAGTTACAGCTGATGTAAGGGATTGTGGAGTAGAGAAGGCCTCTTCCCTTCCTCCTTGAGCATGCTGAAGTGGGCTGGGTCTCCTCAGTCTCTGCTGGGGCCGGAACATTTTTCATCCAGCCGTGTGAGCCAAGTGGCAGACTTGGGGTACAGGAGCAGCCTCCTTTCCTCCTCTCCTGTCAGGGCTGTTTGCTTCCCAGCTAGGAAGATTCTCTGGTTCTGTACACACAGCAAGTTGGTGTTTCTCTACCTCCTCCTCCACCATTTCCAGTTCCATTGGCACATCGTTGTCCACATCAGGATGGCTGGATGTGTCTCCAGGTTGCCTTCTGTCCTACCCAGTGGGCGGAGCATGGTCGTTGGGTGTCTTCTTCCGTTTTCAAATCGGATAGATGCTGGTTTTAGGGAAGATGCACCCAGGTGCATTAATTCTCAAGAAACTGGAGAGGATGGAGGTGGCTTATGGCTGACGCCATATGTAAGCGACTACACAAACAAGTGTTGGGAGTGCAGTGGATGCAGATTAAGAGAGACCCAGTTGGCCTGATTCCCCACCAGTAGCAGCAGGGTCAGGGAACTGGTACATTTTCAGAGGGGGGGAAAGGGGTCATTGAGGCAGCTTCACTTTAAAAGACTGGGTGTGGCCTCAGGGACAAATTAGCGGAGGTCCATTGGTCATGGCAGCTTCTTCCCTTAGATGCCCTTCAAATGATTCACAGCTACAGCCTCGTTCTGTGTAGGGAGCACAGCAATCATGGCAAGAACTCTGCTCTGTCAGCTTTGAAGAAGCAACAGCTTTAAGCAGTTTTAGGGGAAACCTCCATCCCTTCCCCTGAAACGATTGCAATCCCCTAAAATCACAGATCTAAAAAATAATTGAATATCCCTGCTCCCCTGCCCCAATTCACAATGATGGGATGGATTTCATTTCCCTAGAGTGGCCGGGGAAACTTATTGAAGATTCTTATTTACAGTTGGTTTTGGGAGGCCCAAATCCTGCTGTGCCTTAGACAAGGCAGGAGAAGAACAGCAAGCTCTGGCCTTAGAAGAGGATTTTTGATATATTTCCTCTTCTTTTACTGCATGGATGTGAAACTGCCTCACAAAAAGTTTATGAAATATTTATTTCTTTTCCCAAGAGACTTCTGAATCTTTCCCTCTCCCTTTATGGCCTCCAAGGATTAGGGGGTCAGGCCAGACTCTGGAAGTGGTCACTGTTGGAGAAAAGCAAATGCATTTCCTTCTACTGCATTGAGTTTCTAATTAATGCATATGTTACTTTAAACCACATGAGGGCACTGTCTGTGTGGCAATCTAGCCAGCACTTGCTTGTAGCTTCTTTTTCTAGGTTAACTCTACCCCTTAAAGCTGGGCCATTTATTCTCACCAGACAAGAAGATCCCTGCTATTCTCTTTTTCATCTCCACTCTTCCTATAAATATTTCTGCATTAATAAAGCCTTTGAACTCCAGAAACTGATCATTCCAATCGCATTTACCCAAGCTGTAAAGGCTGCTAACACTCATGTACCCAGCCTCACGTATGTCCTATGTTCTCTTCATGTTTTGAAAAAAAGACTGTTGGGCTGCCTAACCCTCCCTCCCTCCCCCCCTCCCTTCCTTCCCCCCTCCCTTCCTTCCCCCCTTCCTTCCTTCAAGGCCAGATACCAGGGCTGTCCAGAACTATGGAGAAAATTAGAAGAGACAAGCCATGGAAAAAGATTAAAAATATTTTCTCTTGTCTCCCCCTCCAGTGCTCTGGGAGCCCCTACAGTGAGTGGATAGTAGTAAATTGACCAATCCATACTTGATGCAATTAACTGTTAAAATCTCCTGTTTAAGAGAGGAACTAACGAGGCACTTGTGGAACCGATGATGCTTTCCCTTGGGCTTTACCCCCCTTGTCTGGTCCTGTAGGAAAGTCGGAAGCGGGAGCACCTAGCAGAGTGCACTTTTTTCAAGTTGGGGAGAAGGCAGTGATGGGACAGTTTATGTGGGGAAGTGGTAGGAAGAGATGAGCTGTGCAGGGGCTGTTAAAAGATCAGGGCAAAGGCCCCCTAATCTCCTCCTAGCCCAACACCCTGTTCCCAGTAGAAAGCCCACGGGCAAGACCTGAGTGCAATGGCAGTGCTCCCCACTCCTTGAAATTCCCCGGCAGCTGGTATTCAAAGGCATCCCACCTCCAAGAAGAACCCTGGGAGGAAGAGCCTGGTTTGCTGGATCAGACCAAAGGGAGCTCATCCAGTGCAGGGTCCTGTTTGCTCAGTGACCAACCAGATGCTCCACAGGTTAGAAGCCCACAAGTAGAACCTGAGAGCTCTAAATCATTCAGAAGCAAAAGGAAAAAGTCTGTCCTTTAGTTTTATCAGCCAAATATGTGTAGGGTCTGCTGCCCTTTGTCTTGGGGGGCAAGCAGTGAACTTTATTGGTTCTCTGTTTGAACATTCACAAGATTTGCCTTGATCTGAATAGAAGCCTTGATCTGAATAGAAGCCTTGCAAGGTGCTCGCCAAAGGAATGAAGTTTATGGCTTGCAATCCTAAATATCATTGAACGCTGAACACACCACTGATCCCAGGATCCATTTAACCCAAGGCTGCTTGATGGCAGAGGGGAGAGAACAGGTGCATTGGAGGCTGGTGGTCCAATCCTGTGCATGTTTGCTCAGAAGAAAATACCACTATGTTCACCGTAGGTAGCATTAAAGCCTGAGTTACAAGTGAGCACAGGATGTGTAAGCCCAGTATCAATTTCCAGCTTCTGAAAAGCCAAGTGCTCTGAATCACCTCCTGCACCAGCCTTCATGTTATTCCTAATCAGCGAGTAAGATCACTAGCTCAGGGGTCAGCAAGGTTTATCTTGCCTGGAAGGGATCGGTCCCGCAGAAATCCCTCCATGGGCTGGATTGTGCGCGCACCCATGATTTTTGGCACCTTCGCGTGCACAGATGCGATTTTCGGCACTGCGGAAGGGAGTCCCTGTGCCCGCACTACGCCGGTTTAGCGCAGTGTGCAAGTGAGCAGGCAGCTCAGTTCGGTGGTGGCTCGTGGGCCGGTCAAACGACCTCCGCAGGCTGCTTCCGGCCCATGGGCCTTAGGTTGCTGACCCCTGCACTAGCTGTATGTATAGGAAGTGACTTGGGAAAGCTGAACCTACTGAACTTCTGCCTGGTCATGCAGCACTATATTTCAGGACACACATTTGTGGAGTGGGCTTCCACATGCAAGCTCATGCACGCAACCCGCCATTGTCCCTGGATCTCAGGCCACATACCCAGCGGCAGAGCCAGGGGGGTGCGGTGGAGGCAGGACGCCCCGGTTGTCACCACTGAGGGGGATGACAAAATGCCAGGCAGCACTCACCGCAGTGCGCCCGAGCCATGCGGCTTTGGTGCACACAGGCTCCGCACTGCTCAAACGGTCCGCTTGCTGCCTCCCCTGCAGCTGTAGGGTGGCTGGGTGGGAGGAGGCAGGCAGATTCCTTGGAGGCCCCACGGAGCATCCTGCCCAGGCTGACCCTGACCCCATGAGCGGCTAGCCCTGCCCCTGGGCGCCGCCCCATGCACCCAATGGGCTTGCTCCTCTGCTGCACATACCTGAACCATCAGGGCATTCACTCAACCCTCTGTGGTCACTGTCTTGCTTGTCCATCTAGAATCCGATTCTGTCATCGCAGCTGAGGCTGCTGTAGGGCTTTTTTGTTTTGCAACATGCGGTTCTGATTTTCAAAGCAATTTTCTGGGGTGGGTAGGGGGGTGTTCCACATATTAGTTGCAGATTACGAGATTATAGGGATGGATGACCAGCACTGAGAATGCATCTTCTGTTTTCCTGCTGTCGTGGGGAGATTAAAGGTGACTTGTTTTAATTCTTCCACTTGTGAGATAAAGGCTGCCTCTGCTTGCTCCCAAGGATTTATATGGGCAATTAGAGGCTGGAGTCTGAAAGGTCTCAATTAGGCAGTGAGGGGAGGGATCTCTTTACAAGCAGCTCTTAAGAAAACTCCCATTAAAGGGAAGCCAGGCCATCAGCCTCTGCTGCGTCAATAAGTATTGAACAAATTAAAAGCCGTTCTCCTCCTAGTACTTGCTGCTTGATTTAGTGCTAGCGTTTAATAAAAGCCCAAGTTGGGAAGTCAAATTCTGGCAGGAAATGGCTGGAAGTGGAAAAGGGGTAGTGGTCCTTCCCTTGATCTCCCCTTTTATGCACCCCACTTGTAGTAACTCCCCACCTTTCCCCCTGGGCCTGCCACTGCCTCTCAGCCCTGCCCACCTTGCAGGATTGTAAAGGTAAAGGGACCCCTGACCGTTAGGTCCAGTCGTGGCCGACTCTGGGGTTGCGGCGCTCATCTCGCTTTATTGGCTGAGGGAGCCGGCGTACAGCTTCCGAGTCATGTGGCCAGCATGATTAAGCCGCTTCTGGCGAACCAGAGCAGCGCATGGAAACGCCGTTTCCCTTCCCGCCGGAGCGGTACCTATTTATCTACTTGCAGTTTGACGTGCTTTCGAACTGCTAGGTTGGCAGGAGCAGGGACCCAGCAACAGGAGCTCACCCCGTCGCAGGGATTCGACCCGCCGACCTTTGATCGGAAAGCCCTAGGCTCTGTGGTTTAACCCACAGCGCCACCTGCGTCCCCTTGCAGGATTGTAGGTGAGGGTAAAAAGGAGAGAGGAAATTCCAGACCATGTATGCCGCCTTGATCTCATTGTGGGGGAAAGCGGGATATAAATGTAGAAATAAAACAGACCAGCTAACTTTCTTAACGAGCAACTTGCAAGCTTCTTACTGGAAGCTGCTTATCTCTAATAATTGCCAAAATATCGTGGGCAAAGGATGAGACTCCAGTTGAGCAATGAGACCACACTTA